AACAAATAAGGGTCTATATTTTGTGAATTTAAAAGCAAACATTTCTCGAGAAGAAGGCAAGTGACTGTGGGTTGTTTTTTTTCGTTTAATTTTGCAGACTATATATTAATACAATGAAAGGTTTTCATAACATACACATTGTTACATACTACTTAAATGAAGAATTCGATCCATTCGTTTATATCTAAGAGCTTCTATTAGACAAATTTATATAAGTATTCTGTAATGTAATGAATTGAATAAGTCCATTAAAATAAAATTGTTATAACTTGTGAACCTGCATGCCCTGTTATTGTATAACGCAACAATACCGTCGATGAGAGAGCAGAGAATTATCGATCGGATCAATGATGTGTAAAATACGTGCAAGCAGGCTAGAATCCTGACTGGTCTCACTTCCCTGTCTAGCCAAGCCAGTTGAGTCCAGAACACCAGTCTCAGCCTCTGCAATATGAATCATTATATTGCAAACATACTCAGTTTATATACCAATCAAACCAACCACAAAGTACCATAAAATAGAAAATAACATTTGTACAATATATAACAACAATCATCATCATTTATAAAAGAAAATCATTTGAATCTTCAGTCATAAACGTCATAATAAAACTCAATATCGTTTGTGTGTGTGTGTGTGGTTAACCTTTAGATCGGATGATCAATTTCATACGGACTATCAGAGACTGTAACAATCAAATAACATTGTTGAAAGGTAATTTAATTATTATAATCTTTTATATTACTGAAATTAAAATCAAAGTAAGATGAACACAACTAGTGTGTATATATCTAGATTGAAATAAGATTTGTTTATTTGAATCTGCTTGGTGATACTTCACAACGATTCAATTCGTGATAGGCTGTAATCATTTGATGTGAATGTGTAAGTGCACATGGTTGACTCACATGCCAATCTTAGAAACAAAGTTAGTTCATACACTTAATTGCCTACAAACGTGCTGCTTGTAACGTTTATCAATGCACCCTTTTCCTTGGTAACTGCGACCAGTATGATAAATTAAGAATAGAAAATTCTAGGTGTTGTTGATATCCCATTTCCTTTGACCGATTGAATGATAAACTATTGATCCAGCTTGTTAGTATTGTCCATGAATACCACTAGTACAATGTGTCATTGATGTTGTAACAAAACAACTTCATCCTATCTTTGTTAGATCAAATTATAAATAAGTGGAATACACCACACTCTTATGTTTGAAATGTAACCAGATCATCTTATTCTTCAACCAAATTACTCTACATGATCATGTTTATTTCAGATGAAATCAAAAATTCCGATCCAAATGGAATGAAGAATATCGATGAGTGTATGTGTAAAAATAATTGAGTTCTTTAATTACATTCATGATTCTAGACATTAGCTGCAGAAGTAACTATTTGACTGGTGATGCAGCCAATTATGCTTGGTCTCGTAAGAAAAAAAATTGTTTTCATCCATTTGTTTAATTTCTATGCAGCATTTCATTATTCATGACATTCATGTTGATTGTTTGAATCCATTGACTAGAGAATCGATCTCATGTGTGAAAGTGGACAAAATTTAACGTTAGAAAATTTTATTCTTACATAATAAGATTACAATATAACTGATGCCATTAAGTTGGCACCCTGAAGTTTCACAATTGATTGATCACTGGGTGGTGATCAATGTCATGCTTGTCTAGTCCTTATTAGTGCAGATCGAATGCTATCGATCATGTTGCAATGTGGCCAACAGTCTAGGTGACTCGACACTGCGGGCACTATGTATTGAGATTTAGATGGTGGTTGGAGGTAGTCAACAGGGTTTCCTGTTGACTACCTCCAACCACCATCTAAACCCTGAAGTTTATCTTGGATAACTCTGACAAAATACTACAGCTCCTCTGTGACAATAAGTACAAGCAGAACACTATGATAAAATAGTTACTTGTAATGAGAGGCTACTAAAGTTTGTTCTGTTAGCGGACAGTCTACATTGAGGTGTTAAATGTTGATGTGTGCACACAATATTTCTTATTGTCTCTGTATTATAAATTCTTTTGCATACCATAACAAAAATCCATCAAATTGAATTGTGTGTGCAATATTGCATCAAGACTGATATGCTTAAGCAATTTTGAGTTTTATTCTGATGCTGTGAGCAAACATATTGCAGAAGTATTCACTTGTTAAGTAAACGATAATAGATGATTTTCGTTAGATATTGAAATCGTCCGTTTATCAACACATGCCTTAAGGAATCATCGACTATCAGCAGAGTTTTTTTACTCAACATCGAATCTAGAACATTCAGACGACATGCTGAGTACCAAGACTTTAGACCAGTAAAACGTTATCAATTGGTTTATTGAAATTCTCATCTCATGTCGAACAAGTACTTGGAACAATTTAAATAGTTTGAACATCGATCCATTTGTTCGTGTCTAATCAGTTCGCAATATATTCACTCGTCCATCAAACCACATTCAATACTCGCTACTACAACAGGAATAAATTCCTCATAAACATCCATATTGAAACTAATTTAATTTGCAATCTGCTTTTAATGCTTGTTATAGATATCCGAAAAATGCAGGCAAATTACAGGCGACAATATCGTGAGTAATTTCAATGACCGAATACTCTTCAACATTTGGAGCACATTGACATACATTAAAGACTGTTTCATATTTTACCATAAGGTGATGAGACATATATGAAACACCGTCTCGTACAACTTCGAAAATTCTTTAAAACGAATGATGCTGTGCTTTGAATTTTAATGTTTTTAGTATGAATGATCTAACACTCATCGATTCATGATGTCAATACAAAACTTAACTGTCTACACAACCCCACTTTGATATTGAGTATTTGTTTACCAATCAAATTCAAGACCCCTATTTTATCCTTTTTGGGATCAGTCGGGATAGATACATGTTGATCTCTATGTTGTTGTTCACACTGCGGCTCAGATATAGAAATTCTTGCTTCAAACCAACACTTTGAAAGAAACTATGCTTAGGTTTCAATGAGAACACCAACACTGATAAAAAGCGAGTTCAGCTGACAGATCTAGAGCTGAAAAAAATGACTGTCCTGAGTTTCACATATTTCAACATATCAGATATATCAAAATTTAATTTCCAGACAATACTCTCGGAAAGTTCCTATGGAAACAGTGCCTCATCAAATTCGGTCCTAAATACTGTCCATAGGGAGTCGTAAACCATTATTATTATTATCTATTTAAATGTTGTAATTACATACCATGTTATAGTTTGTTATTTGTTCAATATCTCTGATTCTATACAGCGCAAGTTTACTTTACTTCACCGAAACTGATTGCATGTTTTCAAGAAAGTGTTAAAGATTATAAAAGTAAGTCAAAATATTGAATCGCACGCAGGTCATTTCTGTCCATCTCAAACATTTGACCACTACTTCTTATGTATTCATGTTGTTTGCCTATCAATAACTACGTTTTTTAATACTTTGCAGACCAAAAATGGTATAAATGACTATTGGTCATTAGTTCTGTAGATAGAATTGTTTCAACTCATTCACAATCTCACTTTCGTCTGTCAAGCATATCAGGCTGTTTGTCTAGTTCACAACAAGTAGTGCTTTCGTGATCAGCATTTACGCGTTGTTGATGCATAAACGTCGTTTATGTGATTATAACGAAAGAAAATCAATTCCACATTGGGTCTTATCGACCTTTACTTCACACACTTTATGTCCGTATCATCGTTGCTAATTGCAGTATGCAAAATCTAGTGTTTAGTTGACATCGATAATATTGCTGGGGCTACATGAATATCTTGAGCATTTTCAATTTTGTAAGTATCATTTTCATCTCTAATTAATTGTAGGTTCTATGCAACACAAGTACATCATGTCGACATATAAAGTCGCAGATTTGGTAGGGAATCTTAAGTTCATGATGAGAGTTTGCGTGGCGACATCCAATATTGGAGTTTATTCAGTTTGTGTGTATTGATTATTTGAATCTTCCATTGATGTGGTAATAACACAACTGATCAGTCTGTTTTGGCAAATGTGTATCTTGTACGGATTGCCTCCATATTGCTACTGAGTCATAAGTGTTCTTAGCAGACATGGACGGTGGCTAGTAGAATGTCGAAGTAAACATTAACCCTAGTATGTAGAGATATGCAACTGAGAAGTCTCTTATTCCTGTGTTAGCCATCATACATCTCTGCTCATAATTCATTTCCCATAGATCAACATGGTTTCTGGTAAAAATGACTGAATATAAATCTGATATGATGAATAGTCTTTTATTGTTTCTCTTATCAACTAATTAGAAATGAAAACGGATCATAGCGAAGAAATTTGTAATGGGCTGATACCATACAAAGCGAAAGGTAACTGTATTTAGACTATCTCTCTTGATATTAATGAATATGACAGACATAACCTGACATTCCTTACCGAAACTCATACTCACCATTACAAACGTGTATTCTAAAATATCTACTTGCCGTTCTTTACCACGCTGAACTGGATTTCCCTTAATCAGGAAATCATAGAACAGTCTATGTCCTGTTTAGTAATAAGTTAAAGTAATCAGGTATCGGAATGAGACAGAAGCTTCATCACCTCCAGTAGCATATCAACTCAAAATGAATAACAACTGGTGTAGTACTCATGAAGGAAGTATTTCATGTTATAGCACAAATCAAGTCAATGGAATCAAAGGTGAAATCACTATTTTGATTTCAAGGACTAAATATTCACAATCACATTGACAATTAGGCGAGAATATGGGGAAATGGTAAAGAGATCAATGTGACTCTTTGTTATTCTTTCGCAGTCCATTTAGTATTAATATACAGTAGTCTGCATTAGTTCGATGCTGAAAACACGTTGAATGATATCACCAAATAAACAATATTTGTGGATAATAATAATAATAATAATAATAATAATAATAATAATAGGATAATCAAAATAATTAAGGCCAAGGTAACGATAACGATAAGACGTACTTCTTTTGTGCCTGCTCTTGTGGAGCAACGTACATTGGCCATAGCCAGCGCTCAATTTCAACTCGGATACGGGAACATATCCCAGCTTGGTTCTATAAGGGTAAAAGGAAAGCAGTTAGGAGTTCCATACTTGAACACCTAATCGACTGTAACCATTCTACAGATCCACAATCTGATTTTAATGTTGTTTATATGATTCGTTCAAATGTACCCAGATTTTTTCGTATCCAACTCTTAAAAACAACCGAAGCTCTTACGATCCAGGAGCTTAAACACGAACTATGCGCATAAAAGAAGTACGTCTTATCGTGATCGTTACCTTGGCCTTAAATATTTGTGGATGTTTTCCTAACCGGAATTATTTTGTCTTTTTCAGGTATAAGAGAATTAGATCAGATTATTCGTTGGAAATATTATGATGTCGAAGAATTGAACATTAAGTTCTGTAAGATAAAACATTTGAATATTTTTTGATTGATTTATCAAGTAATTGTGTCAGGTTCATATATGTAATTGATTAAACAATGATTATCCACAAACTCTAGTACTAGACGGAATGTCTGCAAAGCTTCATCAAGACATCATCATACCATGAATAACATTAAACAGTCTATTGAGACTAATCTGAATTCGAATATTTTTGCGCAACTGACCCACCATATTTGTGACGATTCTCAATTTAAATATCAAGGCGAAGATTGTGAGATCGCATTCCACATTGCAGAATAACTTGACAGCACGGAATAAGCAAAGAAATTACAAGTATTCACATTAACATTGTTAAACCAGTAACATGTATCGGATAATTGTTCATACAAATAATAGATGTGACATAAACACGAAACAATCATCAATTTATTTTCTTTGTCTCCTCATCGATGATGAGATGACTGTTGAAGTGAATAAACACTCAGTCATTTGATGATTTATTTCATTTTCTCAAATTTTAGTTAACCATAGATTTTTGTCACAAGCAATCAAATTGACAAGTGAGTAACCCTATTGAATCAAATTTGCTGACAATCGTTATATAAAACAATATTCGATGGAATGGTGCTGTATAAAGACGAAATATTGTGTGCTTGGATAATGGAAGTAAGCAAAATGGAGTTACAAACTACTACAGGTCAATTCATTAGATACAACACATGATTCTTGTTTAATTGAAATATCTGTGTCAAAATAGTTGCTTGACATACGGTCTAGTGAATAGTAAATATGGATAAATGTTTACGATTACAGTTCATACATAACCACATGATGATTTTCTGTTCCATGGCTTCAGTGGGATCTACAATATATGTGACTATGAATACATACATGTTGATCAAGATCTACTAGACCGTTTCACTTTTGTCAAATCGTTCATTTCAAATGTACACTAGTGTGACTTATCATACTTAATTTTCTCTGGTTAGCACTTTTTTTAGCGAGCTAGTTTTCTACAGGATGGGGTCGCTAACCCCATGCCCAACCCTCCTCCTTTATCCGGGCTTGGGACCGGTAGTAGCCTCAGAGGGGCTCCAAGTGGAGTTGTGTGACTTATTATATTACTAATTATTTATATGTTTCCTTTTGAATTTTAGGTGAATATTCAAAGTAAATGAATTTGGATTTGGGAATGATGATCTGGACTTCACTCATTTTTCATTTACTCATATGTTGTAACAATTAATTTACTGTCAAAATAACAAATCACAAATGTCTTCTTTCATTAACAATATTAACCGTTAATATGAATCATTTATTAGTTATACATGATCATCACATTTGTGCAATAAAGGATCGTAGGGTCTGAAGTTGAATGTCTATAAATCAGTGTTCACTTGCAATGAGAATTTGGCTAGTGGTTGATGGAAATGAGAATAGTGTCCAGAACATGGTGAATAAAACCGATGGATAAATAGCATTTCTGAAAATGACGACTGATTTCTGTAAATCACCGTGTTCACTGCAATTTACTCATCTCACTCGACCTTCTGAAACTAATATATCAAACTGGAGTAAATGTATAAGTATGAACAGGCCTGGTTCAGATGCAGATGTAAAGACGAGGATTGGCAAAACAAGGGCTTCATTTCTACAATTGAAGAACATATGGAACTCAAATCAATTGTCAACCAATATCAAAGTCACAATCTTCAATACGAACGTCAAGGCAGTTCTACTGGACGAAGCTGAAACTTGGAAACCTACAACAACCATCATCAAGAAGGTACAAGTATTTATAAATAGCTGTCTACTCAAGATACTCAACATCCATTGGCCGGATACCATCAGCAACAGCCTTTTGTGGGAGAGAACAAGTCAACTTCCAGCTGAAGAAGAAATTAGGAAAAGACGATGGAAATGGATAGGGCATACATTACGCAAATCATCAAACTGCATCGCGAGACAAGCCCTAAGTTGGAATCCTGAAGGGAAGCGGAAAAGAGGAAGACCAAAGAACACATTACGTCGGATAATAGAAGTAGATATGAAAAGGATGAATAAGAACTGTAAGGAGCTGGAAAGGATTGCCCAGGACAGGGTTGGATGGATAATGCTGGCGAGTGGCCTATGCTCCTTCACGAGGAGTACCAGGCGTAAGTAAGGAAGTAAGTTCTGCTGAGTTTGACAGTTTGCTTGTGAGCATTTCATTGTCTTTCTAGACAACATTAGCAGCAACATATGTTTGAAAAAGTGACGAGTTAGTTACATTCTTGCACAAATGATTGATGGCTTGATTGAATGACATGTAATCTGACTGGTTGTTGCACATGCATCTAGTGTTACTATTCGTACACTTATTTTGACTTCTATCTTCCCTTCATTATCTGTTCTCTGTTTAACATTTCACTCACTGACTGACACATTCAATCCGGTTGGATATGTTTGACGGTAGCTAAATAAACTTAGCACCGGTCTTCAAACTAAACCCTGATTCCTTTGTATTGTCGCTGTCTAATATTTTGACGATTTCCACGTCTAATTCATCCAAACAGTTGTCCACATGCATTGATATAAACTAAGTTATTTCATGGGGTGTAATATTCACCTTATGTTTACGTATATAAGAGTGAACAGTAAAGATATATGGTTCCATATAATGTTTCCAACATCTGTTGTAAATTACACGTAGTTTGTATTTTTCTCTCATCGGATTGTACGGGTTATATGAGCTATATCTCAAATTATCAGCCCCTTTATATCAACTATGCGTTACTGATATAACGGTCCAGGACGAGTTAATGAAAACTTTGAAACAAAATGATTATCAATCTCACTGTATATTGAGTTACTTTACTTAGTAACCAAATTCATTCTTATTAATATCTAAACGTATGAATGTAATAAATTCACTTGATATTATTTTACTTGAATCTTCTCATTGATGTTTAGAACTGCAATTGATCAGTCTCTTATTAATATATGTCTCATCCTGTGCAGATTGTTTTAATTCACAAGCATGATAAGTAAAGATGAATAGTGCCTAGTAGTTTACTATATTTTAATATACATTGATATTTACATAAACTAGTAATATTCACTGGTGAGAAGCCGTGACCAGCGGAGCTAATCCGTGTCGGGTAGAAACATGTGTCTACCTCAGTACAATGGAAGACGGTTGCGCAACTTCATGGATTGGTTGAAGTTAGACATTGACACCATTGGATGCCAGCTCAATGGTCCAGTAGGTTAAGCGTTCAAGCGAGACTGAAGGCCCTGCGTTCGGATCCCGCGATCTCAATCAAAAAGTATTCATTGTATTTATTATTATGATTACATTTTATTAATCTTTGTTGAAACACAAAACGAAAAAAAACTTTTACAGTTTAATACATTCCAATTTCTGTCAGTTGAATCGTCAATAGTCAACATTTACTGATTATCAGTCAGTCAGTCATTATCATTATCATTTATACTATAATATAGATTGTAATTAGTTTTTTACATATTCATTACAAGAAACAACATCTTTTCTTCCTTTCTTTCTATTATACAGAGAGTTATGTTAATCATCATAGATTATTATTTTTATTTCAACACAAAGATAATGGTATAAAGAGGCACCAAATAAATATGCGCCACACAGATCTCATTCAATATGTGTGAGGGCTGTGATACTGATCGGGTGCCCAAACCGAAGCAGATGGTTATCTTAGGGGGCCACACCCCGAGCCTTCGACCTGAAGGTCTGATCCACAAGGCAGTGGAGCATCGTAAGGAGATGCAGTCCCATGGAAGCCGGTGACCAACAATTGGTTCATACGCCATTTGATCCCGCAGGATACTGGAGCCCATGTGCACCATTGGTTTGGAATCCTGTTAAAGCGCCGGACATTCGCTTTTCGTCCTCTCATTTTCGTAAACAACACCCCCGCCACGAGAAGGCAGTGAGTAGGACTTCCCTGGCAGAGGCTATATACGCGTGGCCGTGTGAGAGTATTTCGAGACGGAGAGCGGACTCTCCTCACTCTCGGCCGTACCAGAGCATTTGGGGGCAATCATCATAGATACTGTTGGGGTGATCCAGAAAACCTCTTGCAAAAGACAAGAAAAGATCAGGAAAACACTAAGATGCATTTAATCCAATCGCCCTCAAATACACTAGTACGGCCGAAAGTGAGAAGAGTTCCCTTTCCATCGCAGTATGCTTCCATATGGCCTCGCGTATATAGCTTCTGCCACGGAAGTCTTGCTCACTTCCGTCTCGTGGCGGGGGTGTTGTTTACGAAATTAAAAGGACGATGAGCGAACGTTCGGCTATCTAACCGAGTTGGTGGATATGGAGGATTCACCTAGGAGAGTTGGAACACCCTCATTTCAAAACAATGGTACACATGGGCTGCCTCCACTATCCTGAGGTTCAAATGGCGTATGAACCAATCGTTGGTCACTGGATACCATGAGACTGCATCTCATGACATCGCTCCACTGCCTTGTGGATCAGACCTTTAGTTCGAAGGCTCCGAATGTTGCCGTCTAAGAAAACCACCTGTCTCGGTTTGTGCATCGAGGCAGTATCACAGCCCTCATACAAATCAAATGAGATTTGTGTGGCGCATATGTATCTGATGCCCCTTTGTACGAATATCCATGTGTCCAAATAAATAAATAAATACTTTATTCAATCAGAGTTCACTAGAAGTCTATTCAGAAACATCAAGAAAGTGAAAATTCACATGTAGATTTTTTGATTGACTGATTACTACACTGCTATACTATGTTTAGCAGTATTTCAGAATTTTCGAGAAACCCAAGGATATCTAAAATACAATAAAAACTTTAGATTTTCTGTATTAAAACAAACCTTTGAAGAAAAGTGTTTCTCGCATATTTTGTGTTCTTTTTCTCGCTCGTGTTTAAATCGCTGTATAGTTCTAGCTTGGCGGTTACGAGAATAGTTTAGGAACCGACTGAATTCTCGGGAATTGACCTCCTTCCAAGAGGTCCACTTATCGACTTAGAATACACAGATGACATAGTCCTGTTTGGTGAAGACACTGATAAAATGTAGAGTCTTCCGGTAGCATTGAACAACAATGCCAGGAGGTTTGGGATGCGCTTCTCTCCCTCTAAATGCAAGTTGTTGCTTCAGGACTGGTCTGCGTCAACACCTGAACAAAGGATAGGGAGTGAAGTAGTTGAATGCATTGACTTCACTTATTTTGGAAGTCTGATCAGCCCTAATGGGTTGGTGTCTGACGAAATCTCAGCACGGATTCGAAAAGCTCGTTTGGCTTTTGCCAACTTGCGTCACCTATGGCGAAAGCCAGATATCCGTCTATCAATAAAAGGACGAGTATACTGCGTGGCAGTCGGTTTTGTTTTAAGTTACGGCAGCGAAACATGGCCAATAGGAGTAGAAGATACTCTTAAGCTACTAGTATTTGACCACAGATGCCTTAGAAATATTGCTGGCGTCTGTTGGGATCACAGGGTATAAGGGAATGATGGTAAATCAGTTGATGAGGTTGTGAATCTTCATCGACTGAGATGGTTGGGCTACGTGTTGCGTATGCCTGAACACCGATTACCACGACGTGCCATGCTAACCGGTGTAGGGGATGGTTGGAAGAAAGTTAGGTGTGGCCAAACCAAAACGTGGCATCAGTGCTTGACGTCACTAAATTCTAGTCTGAGCCATGTTGGTAGATGCAGACTACTTGGTTGGAAACTCTTGGTGACATGGCTCAGAATCGATCACAATGGTTTTAGGTGTATACACTTTCTATCTTCCTTTAAACTAAGAGATTAAAATTGCTTCATATCTTTCTTTCTACGAACTAATTCTTTCTTCTTGTACTATATCTTTACTGCGATCTTTCGTTTATATATTACCACCTCTGCATTAACTACTTTTATGAATTTGGTGTTCATCTTGTTGTGTTAATGAGGTATGGCAACTTGGACCGTTGTATATATGTGCCTGGTCCTACGTTGTAGCTGACTGACTGACTAGGAACCGAAATATAGCGTTCAAGTAGTAAGACTTATCAGATACCATAAGAGTTAAGATCTTCAATAAATCATTGTGTTTTGATCTTTGTTTTTACATCTATCTAAATTGTGTACTATAAACGGTATAATAAATTTAACCATTAAATTTCTTATAAGAATATAAATTAAGTAGACTGTTAATATTATACGAATAGTATAGTTTCATTCATCTATTTAATACATAGTACATAAAAGAAAACCACATAGAAAAAAGAGAGAAAAGAAGAGAGAGAGGGGGGGAGGAAATTACTTATTTTTACAAACAGACAACAATTTTATAAATGTACAATGATACAAACAACTAAATCATAGTGATAACAATGATCAGTTTACTAGTACTAGTAATAATCAATAATCAATAATCAATAATAATAATAGTGAATGAATAAGAAGTACATCGACCAAAAATAGGCAATCATATCTATAAACAAGTATTAATATTATACTTTTGTAATAAGCAATATGGAATTAAATATATATACATACATACCCAATCATTTATATACGTCTAATGTATCCCTCACGGTTGGGCACCGACGACGCATAAATAAGAATAGAATAACTTCACTTTGGAAGAGGAGTAGAAGTAGTAGTAGTAGCAGTAGTAGTAGTAGTGTTGCTTGTTTCATATTGTTCTACAATTAATTCCGCTATTTCAGTAGAATATAAACATTTAGGGAATGGTTGTTCAAGTACATATTTAGTCTAAAATAATTTAAAAGAAAACAAAAAAGAAACGATAGTTATGTTGAAAAGTGTAGTCTGTGAAAATCACTGTCGTGAATTGATAATTATCCTTACTAACAGATATTGAATAATGTAAACATGATAAAATTTTGCGATTTGGCCTCCTAAGAAAACCAGATGCTTCACAGTTTAAGCACTCGGTCAGTATTATACCCCATACCTAAATCGAATGACTTGTATGGTTCATATGTATTCGGTGCCCATTTGTGCTAAGATTTATGTGTTCAAATCAATGAACAAATAAAATCTATAATTTTGATCAGCCATAAGATGCCTAATACACAAAAAACAATATGGATATGGATTGTGGGATGTGAACTTTTGAGAAGTCTCAAACGAAAATGAAAGTTATGTGGTGTTTTCTCTTAGGATTCTTAATTAGTTGAAATACAGTAATTAAACAATGTTCATGAATTTTAAGCATAGTTAATGAATAGTTGCCATTTGACAACACAACAAGATGAAAAACAATCATAACGGATAGAAAACTGGTAGCTGATTGAATTCTTTCATTTAAATATCAATCATTGAATAGCAATGATCTAAAATATTATGTAATCAATCTAATAACATTTACAATGCCTAATCTTATTTGCATTCATAACAGGATTTAGATTAATTGTAAAAAGAGTTGCTTACAATCAATACAATCGAGTCAACTCAACAACAAGATGAACACCGAATTCATAAAAGTAGTTAATTCAGTGGTGGTAATATATAAAAGAAAGATTGCATATAAGGATATAGTAGAGAAAGAAAGAATTGGTTGATAGAAAGAGCGATTTTAATCTCTTAGTTTAAGGGAAGATAGAGAGTGTATACACCGATGCCATTGTGATCGATTCTGAGCCATGTCACCAAGAGTCTCCAACCATTGGTTACGATAGTCACGCGGACCCTAACCAAGTAGTCTGCATCTACCAACATGGCTCAGACTACAAGTTAGTAACTTCAAGCACTGATGCCACATTTTGGTTTGGCCACACCTAACTTTCTTCCAACCATACGTAACACGTGGCCCAACCATCTCAGTCGATGAAGATTCACAACCTCATCAACTGATTTACCATCATTACCTAATACCCTGCGTCTAACCTCACTATTTCTTACCCGGTGATCCCAACAGACGCCAGTAATATTTCTAAGGCATCTGTGGTCAAATACTAGTAGCTTACGAGTCAGCGATAATTCCACATTATTAACTAAAATGATATTCTATTTGTTATTTCAACAATTAAAATATTCATAACAAAATGGAAATACAACACAGAAACTGGAAGACTAAGCATAATTTATCATTGGATTGTTATTAAAAAGTTAAAAAGTTTATTCTGTCCAAGCAAATATTCCCAGATTAGAATCCTCTCAAATACACTCCAGAATTCATAGTCAAAAAGTATCATTAAGAGTAAACACAAATTTTAAAGGTAGTGTGGTAGTAATGAGGGAACCCAAAGGTACAATCATAAGAAATCTTTCAGTTAACGAAGATACAACCACTTTTTATGAAGAAAGTAAAAGAAGGTTACAGCAGGATCGCCACTGGCTTCTATTCTAAGCCATATCTGATAACGTCTCTAGCCACTGTGTTGTACCATCTCTCAGACCCCAACCAGGGAGTCGTGAAGGACCAACACAAGCCAGTCCTTTGCAGATTTCTTTCATACCACGACACCATGTCATGCACTGACCACCTCTCCGCTTCTTCCAACCAGTCCCAGAGTTGGCAAATAATGCACGACGTGGAATTCTCTGGGACGACATTCGGAGAACATGTCCAACTCACCGAAGTCGGTGATTCAAGATGGTGACACAAATTGAATTATCATCTCTGTGCCCGAACACACGATGCCGAACCTCTGCATTACTGACATGGTGTTGCCACTGAATGTCAGCAATCCTTCGGAGACAGCGATGATCGAACACATAGAGTCGTCTAACATCCTCAACTCGGAGAGACCAGGTTTCACAAGTATAGAGCAAAACTGCTCTCACCGACGCGTTGTAGATCTGGCTTTCACTATTCGTGCATTGATCTCATCACTCACACCCCCACCAGCACTTATGCAGCTACCCAGATACACGAACTTCTCGACTACGTCTATCTGCTCACCATCCAGGGTGAGTACAGGATTGGAATCATGCCAGTCTTGTAGAAGTTCTTTGCACTTCGAAGGTGCAAAGCACATACCATACCTACGGACACTGATTGTCAACTGATTAAGTGCGGATTGCATGCCTTGGGCATTATCGCACAGTAAGACAATATCGTCCGCATACTCAAGGTCGAGAAGTCTTTCTCCAGGCAACAGATCCACACCACAAGCAATTGATTCAAATTATTATCATTACTTTTCTCGCTTCGAAAAACAAGTAAACACAAAAATCTATACGTGAGTTAATATAAATTTGTAAAATATTGAAAACGTTCCAATGTGTCACTAAAAAGACTGAACAATCATTGTGTCTAATAGAAAATATGGTACCTTGTTAAAGAGCTAAATATCAATTAAAAAGATTCATTCAGCATCAAACATGATTCTGAAACTGCCAAATACAAACAGAATAAACATAGTCGTTGATATTTCTCATGTGAATACTGTCTACTGAGAATATTATGATGAATAGTTGCGTTTTTTTTTAATGTTTAGCGATTATAGATCAAAGAGATTGTGACAAAATCCACATAACTACTCCCCCCTTTTTATTGATCCCTTCACCTTTTCATAACTTTTCTATTTTGTACTATCTAAAATTGGTTACCAGTAAGATAGACTAAAAATATATATTATAAGGGACTGTAGATAAATGTGTGTGTGTGTGTTTGTCAGTCAGTCAGTTACAACGTAGGATCAGGCACATTTATGCATCGGTCCAGGTTGCCATACCTCATTAACACAACAAGATGAACACCAAATTCATAAAAGTAGTTAATTCAGTGGTGGTAATATATAAAAGAAAGATTGCATATAAGGATATAGTACAGGAAGAAAGAATTGGTTGATAGAAAGAACGATATGAAGCGGTTTTATTCTCACTGTGTAAGGGAAGATAGAGAGTGTATACACCTAAAACCATTGTGATCGATTCTGAGCCATGTCACCAAGAGTCTCCTCCTATATTAAGTGGGTATATAGAATTTAAATTCATGATATTATGAGAAGTAATTATTTATATATTACATCATGAGAACAGTTAACATCTTACCAAATCATAAGGCCAATGACTATAATGATAATTCTTGTTTTCATTGGTTCTCATCACTGTTCTATTCGAATAAACAGAAAGGACTTCATATAAATTTGAACGTTTTGAAGTTAAACAGGCCAATTGAACACCAGACCATAATTCAGATGCAAAAATTGGTGCAATAGGTGTAAGCATTACTATAAGATCAGCTAATGCACGTAGATACAAGAAACTTGACGGTCCTGGACCACCAACATGTATGGAAGATTTCTGTAATCATAACATACAAAAAAATCCATTTTGTACAAAAGAATATTGTGAAAGAAGCTTAGGACTAAACGAATAAAAAATTGATCGCTTCTAAAGAATTAATCCACTCAGTCTTACAAAATTTCAGTCGTAACCGAAATCGTTTAGTGGTAAATATTTCAGATTTAGAAGCTGTATGAATTAAATCTCAACTGTACGAGAAAACATCAGTTCCCTCAAAATCCTAGGAACGCCTATTTGACAGTAGTAAACAAACACAAAATTCAGATCCAGACGTTCTTTCCAATTACGCTCAACCACCTAACATATAAAAGATTTAGCAAAGATTTAATCCATAGGATAACATAGTTCATTATTCCCGAACGTGATTCTCATTATACGATAGATTTGTAATATCTAGTTAATAAGCAACTGATCAACTACCGATCAGGCAGTCTATATAGAATAATAATAAAATTATCCTAAAATTAATGGGACAAAAGCATTGACAAACAATTACCTGAACATATGCCAAGATCAATAAAACGAGAATTTATTATGCTATTTTCAAAACAAATTCTCCTTTTTTTTTCCTAAATACGATGTGATAAAGATCTGCCTATTTGACAGTATAAAAAACCATACACTGTTTGTAACTCAGTTAGCTGCAATGTAGAACCTAGCAAGTATGTACATCAGTTCAAGTTGATATGCCACATTAGCACAGACACATGAAATTGACAGACCAAACCCAAGAATATTAGATGTAGTAACTGCATCAATGGTAATAGAAAAAATTAGATATCGAAGATACGATTCGAGAAGAAAATATAAATTAGTGAAATAGAAGCACAAAATGTGGTATGAGGAAATCAGAAGCTCAGAATCTCGAGGAAGATAGAGAAAGAATCCACATGTGTGATTTCAATCGATTTTGTGGACTGCAATCAGATAGACCACACTCATTTATATGGCTCATTCTTGTGGTCAGAGATTTCATAGACTGATGTCATGTGTTGGTTTATCGTGTCTTAGCTTTCTCCCAGCCTATTCGTAAACCAGACAACATCGCTGGTCGAGGTAGACACTGATAGTTAGGTCTGCATAACACGTGTCCCAACCACCTCAACTGATGAAGATTTACTACCTCGTCAATAGACTTGCGATCTTTACCTAGTACCCTATTCCTAAAACAGACACCACTTATTCGGTTGCCCCAAAATACACGGGCAACGCTTCAAAGATACGTATGATCAAACCATTTATAAAGCGCAAGATTATTAACACAACAGATGAAAAATAACCAGACTTACTCGAAGCATTTCAGTCATCTCTTGAAGTCGAGCAATAACAGAACTAATTACAAATGTATCATCATAATATTCATTAACCTGTTTTTAAAAAAACGAACGAATATTGGACAAAATATAAAGGAATGAGCGTTGTAGAAATAAGCCTACTTTAAAGATATTACACGTTAAGAACTGATGTCATTCAAATAGGTTATCACAGAAAACAGAATAGCACTGAAGTGATATTTCGTTTTAATGCGTAATAGTACAAGAAAGAAAGGCGATCTCAGCAACTGTGATAACTACAGGGGTATCACTCTTCTCTCAATACCGGGAACAGTCTTCAACAGGGTATTGTTAAACAGGATGAAGGACTCTATAGATGCCCAACTTCGAGACCAACAGACAGGATTCCGTAAGGATAGATCGTGTACAGACCAAATCGCAACTCTACGGATCATTGTGGAACAATCAATTGAATGGAATTCATCACTCTACATCAACTTCATTGACTACGAAAAGGCATTTAATAGCGTGGATAGAACAACACTACGGAGGCTTCTTCGACACTACGGCGTGCCTCAGAAGATAGTCAACATCATACAAAATTCCTATGATGGATTAAACAAAATCTTCCATGGAGGACAGTTGACAAACTCGTTCGAAGTAAAGACCGGTGTCAGTCAAGGTTGCTTACTCTCACAACTTTTTAATTCTCCTGGTGATCGACTGCATCATGAAGACGTCAACATCTGAAGGGAAACACGGGATACAGTGGACTTCTAGGATGCAGATGGACGATCTAGACTTCGCAGATGATCTGGCCCTTCTATCCCAAACGCGACAATAAATGCAGGAGAAGACGAAGAGTGTGGCAGCAGCCTCAGCAGCAGTAGGTCTCAATATGCACAAAGGGAAGAACAAGATTCTCCGATACAACACAGCATGCACCAATCCAATCACAATTGACGGAGAAGATTTGGAAGATGTAAAAACCTTTACATATCTGGGCAGCATCATTGATGAACAGGGTGGATCTGATGCAGATGTGAAGGCGCGGATCGGTAAAGCAAGAGCAGCATATTTACAACTGAGGAACATCTGGAACTCAAAACAACTGTCAACCAACACCAAGGTCAGGATTTTCAATACAAATGTCAAGACAGTTCTACTGTATGGGGCAGAAACCTGGAGAACTACGAAAGCCATCGTCCAGAAAGTACAGGTGTTTATTAACAGCTGACTACGCAGGATACTGGAGCCCATGTGCACCATTGGTTTGGAATCCTGTTAAAGCGCCGGACATTCGCTTTTCGTCCTCTCATTTTCGTAGACAACACCCCAGCCACGAGAAGGCAGTGAGAAGAACTTCCCTGGCAGAGGCTGTATACGCGTGGCCATGTGAGAGCACTTCGAGAGGGAGAGCGGACTCTCTTCACTCTCGGCCGTACCAGGACATTTGGGGCCCCATAAGCATAAACAAAACAATGAAATATATTAACTATCATCTGATGCCAAATTTAACATAACACTATGGATAATACTTTGAACATTAAATACTTCATAATAGTCCATAATTCTCTTCACACGTACAACAAAAATTATTTTAATTACACAATTCACTGATTCAAAGTGGATATTGAATAGATTCTGTTTAGACACATAATTTTTGATAAAGAGTAAGTCGTTTAAAACTAGAAGACTATCAATACAGTAACAATATCGATATCAATCTCTAATCATGATAAACAATAGAAATTTCACATACTATTTGTAGGAATTACTCAATAAGGCATAACAGAACTCATAGTAGACACCGTAAGTGAATAGTACTGAAAGAGAAGATGTATATTTCGTTTGAATTGGAACTAATCAGCTAGATGCACCTAAATCAAAGTATTTATAATCAAATTGAGACTCAAATGTCATAGCATTTCTTTTAAATATAAGTCAAATAAATCACTTAAGCTGGAAATGTGTAAATGAATGAACATAAAAGATTACGATTGTGAAAAATAGAACAACAAATGTAAGCGAACAATATGATGTTCAATTAGATTATCATCAGGCTTTATTCTATAATAGACATGAATATTCATACGAAAATGTTAAACCAATTAAGGTAATTTGAGTCAATAATCACAATGAAATAGAATAAGTCTCTACACATAAAATAGGTAAAAGTACAAGTTTATAGTAGGAAGACAGGTGAACTGATAATAGTAAGAATAATAAAATACAATAACAAAACTCTTATCCATAGTTAATCGTTGAAAATAGAAGGTCAAACGAGGGTAAATAGACTTAGACTAGTCACCACAAAACATTGGAACCATTATGTAATAAGAAGTGTGTAACTAATTAGATAGTGAAGAATACAAACCGAAAGAGGCGGAAAATTACAAACAAATACTGGATGTGAAAATAAGGTTAATGACAACAAAAATAAAATAAAATGAAAACACAATTCTAAAAAAATGTTGTTTGTTAAGTTATAACTGGCCATGGAAGGGATAGGGGGTTACGAATTTCTTATGTACACATAAATTGGGGTTATATATACGAATTCCTATGGCTTCAGCTATATTTAGGAGACGGCAACGAACTCCGTTGGGAAATAATGGAGGTGTACGATAGATCACTCGACATGCTTCCGATTTATCTACAGTATGACCGCTATCAATAAGATGTGCCAATATAGAACTATGTATTGTTTTTATCTGGCCTTTTGTAAACCACGCTGGTAGATGTTCACTCATTCGTTGGTTAAGTTGCCTGGTAGTACACCCGATATAGCTATCTCCATAGGAGCAGCTGAATTTGTAAAAGAACATTGAGGAGGCCAACTCAGGTAACTTATCCTTCGTTTGGGTAGACAACGCTGGTCGACAAGAGAAAGTCAACGCAAGATTGGCTGCGTATAATGTCCTGCTAATTACTTTCGTGATTCAATTAAGCCGACTGGATCATTTACACCACGACTCTATGGTTTGCCTAAAGTTTATAAACCGGGTCTTCCTCTACGCCCAGTTCTAGATATGTACAATTCTCCTTACCGCAAAATTACAAAGTGGCTAGTACGAATCTTAGAACCTTTACACAAATCAGTTGTTAGAAATAGTGTAGAAGATGTCTTCAACTACACCTCCAAAGTAGAAAATATTAATGTTAGTATGAAAAATATGATCTCATTGGATGTAGTATCTTTGTTCACCAACCTATAGCTTATAGAGACCATTGAGTTTATATGCAAGCAAATGTTGGACCACATCGATCGAGAAAATGGGCTGAACAAGACGGTCAGTATATTGATAATTCTATTACAGAATCAGTTGAGAAAGATATTATTGTTCTTTTGTTTTCTAAGAAAAAAATCCTGAATTTTGAGATAGCCACGAAGATACTACATCCACTGAGGTCATATTTTTCATACTAGCATTAATATTTTCCACTTTGTAGGTGAAGTCAAAGACATCTTTTATACTATTTCTAACAACTGATTTGTGTAAAGGTTCTAAGATTCGTACTAGCCACTTTGTAATTTTCTGGTATGGAGAATTGTACATATCTAGAACTGGGCGTAGAGGAAGACCCGGTTTATAAACTTTACGCAGACCGTACAGTCGTGGTGTATATGATCCAATTGCCTTAATTGAATCATAAATTTCTGTCGTGATTATTCCCTTTTTCTTTAGATCCTTAAGGAAATTAGCCAAATGTTTTTCTACTTAATTATTGATGTCATAATTACTAGCAAATATCAGAAAAACAAATCAACATTGGCTTGCCTAACGATAGTCTAAAGGAACTGCTCTTAAGATGCACACTGAACAACATTTTTAAGAATTTTGTTTTCATTTTATTTTATTTTTGTTATCATTAACCTTATTTTCAAATCCAGCATTTGTTTGTAATTTTCCGCCTCTTTCGGTTTGTATTCTTCACTATCTAATTAGTTACACACTTCTTATTACATAATGGTTCCGATGTTTGTGATAACTAGTCTACGTCTATTTACTCTCGTTTAACCATCTATTTCCAATGTTTAACTATTAATATGAAATCCAGCTGACAAGTCCAAAACTGGACAAAACACGCATCCTGTATTCTACTGTTATTCATTATCCATCATTACTTACAAAAAGCTTGTGAATTAAGACAATATCGAGGCAATCCACACAGGATGCACATATGCCAATAACAGACTGATCAATTGCAGTCTTAAACAACTTCAATGGGAAGATACAAGCAAAACATTATCAAATAAATTATTGATATAACTTTTGTTATTGTATTTTACTATTCTTACTAATATCAGTACAACTGTCTTCCTACTACTATGAACTTGTACTTTTCCCTATTATGTATGTATGTCGATGTAATCTATTTCATTGTGGTTATTGACTCAAATTACCTTAATTGGTTTTACATTTTCGTAATAAATACTCATGTATATGATAGAATAAACCCTGATGGTAATCCAATTGAACATAATATTGTTCGCTTACATGGATTGTTCTTATAAATGTATAATAAATAAAATAATAAAAGCAAATAAACATCAGTATAAAGCTTGGTATAGAGATTTACACCACAAGTAAACTTGTTACATCCTATTAACACAATTAGATGTAATTAAGAACGGATGAATAATAAAAGAGATGATAATCATCTATTTATTAGTAATGGATCATTGTAAAGACTAAGTAGTATGAATACGATTTGAAAAACAAACAAACCTACAAACCAAGCAAACAAACGAAATGCAAATGATGTCCAAAGGTATAGTAGAATGGTTGGTTATGAGAAAGATAAAGGATGAACGTATCTAAGCAACTATGAATAATTTGGAGTTATATCACCTGATCAAATCAATCAATCATATAGAGATTTTTTAAGAATAAGCAAATTGACTACTTACAAATGAATAGTAGGAATAATAGAAATTTTTTTTTTAGAATTTACCCGCTTTATAATGGATTGATGATATTTTAAAGAATATGATGTATGAATTAATAATGGATCATCCATATCACATTTTAACTCCCATGATACATTAGAATGTTGTAAAGTATTGGAATATTCAATAAGTTGTTCAACTAGGCGATTCATTTTATTTAACCAATTATTAACACCTTGAAGTACTAAAATGAATAAAATCAAAAAGAAAAAAAGAAATAAAATCACAACACTCCTACATAAGAATAAACAATATAAAGAGAATAAATAATCCTAAGATCAGAATGTACTATGTATGACTCTTGGTGATTGACGCTGAGGATATGTATTATCACATTACATATTTACACTAATGTATGGAAAACATGAATAATTAATTTCAAAAGAAAATAAGAAACGTCAATAAACGGTTAGTATTACACATACAACTTTAAATCCATCCTAAAACGGTTACAGATGTCTGAGTTTCTAACCCCATATCTCTTATGTCAGTTTCTTTTTGTGTATATTACACTTTACTACTTAATATTACTTAGTAGTTTGAATAATTTTGACCTATTTTATGACGAGTGAACTGTAACACCAGGTATACCATAGAAACAAGTCATATATATGTATATATTGTTCATTTGTAATTTAATTTCGATATTTTAATCCATTTTCCTTATTCTTCAAACTGTGTTCCTCTTTCCATTAACCTTAAACTCTTTCTCATAACTTTATCATTTGAAGTTGTTTTACTTTGGAACGAGTTTGATTAAGAATGTTTTCGAACAATAGTAAGAATGAAAATTATAGAATATTGTTTGGAGAATAATATAAGAACTTGTGTTATAAAATAAAGTGACATGTTACACTTAAGGAATTACATCACAATCTCATAGTATTGTCTTTGGAAAAGCCTTATTCTGTGAGTTGAGTAGATTGAATATGAAGTATTTATTGTCGTGCAGGGAAACATTATTAGCACAAACTTTAGAAAGAAGTGAGGTATTTACGTTTATGTACAAGTGACTAACAGTTTGTTTAGCCAATATTCAGTTTGACTGATTGTGTATAATACTTGTCGTGTCATTGGCTTACACAATTCTTTTGATTAGATCTCACCTTGAACTGATTCAGAGCCTTACAATTTATTTTAGAATTTTCTTAACTAGTTGATAAATTGGACATATTTTAACATCTTTATCGATTCCCGATTGACTTGAGTGCCTAAACTTTAAAAAAATCTTTAATCTTCTTTATAGCTGTCATTGATGAAGATTTCTAGCCCACTTACTATCATCATCTGAAGCTTGTATTAATAATGACATCGTTTAGAAAAAAAAAACAATGAAACCGCCAAGCTTAGAGAACTCAACCCCACCAACATCATTTTCTTGAATAAGGAATCTTCGTGAAAATCTCAAAAAAAGAACAATAACCTCTTTTCAAACTGATTCAGTAACAGAATTATCAATATACATACCGTCTTGTTCAGCCCATTTTCTTGATCGATGTGGTCCAACATTTGTTAACATTGTAATTCTTATGGTATCCATACCATATTTTTCAACGACATCAGTTGGATCAATTCCATTCAATTTGGATTTGCTCATTTTATCCCAATACATTTGAACTGGTTCATTAGTTTCAATTTCATAATATTCAACTTTTTTTAGAAAGTTAGATGAAGAAACAAAATAGAATATGAAATATTGAAATTAATTTCACAGACAAACCTAATTGGTAGTTAGTTGAACTTATTACCATCTAAACGAAAACGTTTAATGTATGGATAAGTGGTTTTATTGATTGAGAAATATGATCTTCAACTATAATGTTACAGGTTCTCTACCTACATCAGATTTGGCAAACTGTTATCATTTGAGCAAGTGATGTGATGAGATAAATGAAAAAGCAATGATGAAGAACAATGGAGTTCGATGTTCAGGCATACGTAACACGTGGCCCAACCATCTCAGTCGATGAAGATTAACAAGCTCACCAACTGATCTACCATCATTTCTTAATACCCTGCGACTAACCTCACTATTACTTACCCGGTGATCCCAGCAGATGCGAGCAACATTTCTAAGGCATTTGTGGTCAAATATTAGTAGCTTACGAATATCTTCTACTCTTAGTGGCCATGTTTCGCAGCCGTAAAACAGAACGAACTTCCGCGCAGTACACTCGTCCTTTTATTGATAGATGGATATCTCGCCTTCGCCAAAGGTGACGTAAGTTGGCAAAAGCCAAACGAGCTTCTCGAATCCGTGTTGAGATTTCGTCAGACACAAACCTATTAGGACCGATCAGACTTCCAAAATAATTGAAGTTGTCAACGCGTTCGACTACTGCACTCCCTATCCTTAGTTCGGGTGTTGACGCAGACCAGTCCTGAAGCAACAACTTGCATTTAGAGGGAGAGAAGCGCATTCCAAACATTCTGGCATTGTTGTTCCCCGATCGAAGCTGCTACCTTGACGCGGTGGTCGGGCTTGCCTATCGTGATGACCCAACCGAGCTATATTGGCTGGAACATATGTTCCTGCAGGTTCTACCATGCCAGGCAGGTATTGTTGTTCAGTGCTACCAGAAGACTGCATTTTATCAACCAAACAGGATTATGTCATGTGCATACTGTAAGTCAATAAGTAGACGCCCTGGAAGGAGAACAATTCCTTAAAATCCAGTCGACGAAAACCTTTACTTAAGCAGTAGGTGTCTATAATGAAATTGAACAAAAATGGGGATAGTGAACAGTCATGCCGGACACCAAATGAGGTTGCCATTGAATTAGGTTCCAAATAATTTGTCTCGTCTCCTCAGTTGCCAACATATTAAGTCGCAGGTCGGTGATAGATTAGTTTTCTTTTCTTTTCTCTCAAAGTCGATCAGTCATAAAAGAACTCACATATTTGCTAGCCTTATGATTGGATTAAATAACCTATCGCATCAAGGCTTTAAATTAGATCGAGATAACTCTCTCCTGTACATTAGAGGGCAGATGGATCAAGGACGTAAAGGTAATACTATGCCAGAAACGTAAAACATAGTTATAAAATGCTCATTAGCATTTACTTCGTTTTTCGTTCTGTAATTACGACAGATTAATAATTGGCAACAAATTGTCAACTACCTATTGCTTATGTAAACGGCTTTATTAGCATGTCACTTTTTAAATGGGATACAGTTACAGTCCAATACTTTAAACATTCTATAAAACTTTTGAGAATTATGAAAAGATATGGATATTTGAATTTTTAGTGAAGTATAACATAATTTGTCCATAAATTAAATAGTTCTTAAAAGGTGTGAAACGTCAAACTACTATAATGTTTATAAGTAATTAATATTTTATAATATACCTTTCTTTGCTTACACTTAAAGCTTGTACTGTTTTATTCCTTGATAGAACTAATAATCTGTAAGTGGGGTTCATCACAAACCGATCTCCGTTGAGGTAACACTGTAAACTATGGAAAATTGAACAGCTATTTTGTTCTACTATGAAAATCTTCCCGTGAATCTATCAAAGATGGAATCCCAAATCCTGAGGTAATGCGGTGAGCGCTTAACTATTGAAACATTGGTCTGGTATTCAATGGTCTACACTTCTAACTTCAATTAATTGGTAATACAGTCTGATGATCAATTAATTGAGGTTAATCTATGGATAAAATTCACGGTGAATTAAACTATAATCACTAAAATACCTTTACATCGTAAATAGTAACCGTTTTACTATGTTGGTCTGGTTATATTGTAGTATCTAGTACTATGCCAAGCATACATGGGTTATTCTGGTTAAGGACAAACCGACTTATTCATCCTTCTCAGTCTTCATGTTGACCTTGTTGGTTATTCGCTTGATAACCATGACTGTTTTATATGAACGTATATGTGTGTATTGCTTATCCCACACTGATCACATATCGGTAGCTTATTTTTGTCTAAATAAAAATACCGAGTCACATTTGAGTTGAATCACTCGCCTTCGCTGTTCCAATTCGCCCTAATTTCTTGCTTATCATTCTAAATGACTTTCTGGATCAACAAATGTCGAAATATACGTATTCAAAATTGTATTCTCGTATTTGACTTACTCCATTATTGATTAACGCGATTTAAGTCGATAACTATGTACGACGGTATGAAACCTCATACATATGATTATACACGACATGAATAGTTAACTTAATCATAACGCGTGCAAAAATCCATCATACTAATTAGAAATAATACAAACTACTTATATATAAAAGTAAACTACGTACTTTCATTTATATTTTCCTCCACTAAAAGATAATGTCCAATTTGACCATGGTTATAGTTGTATGATTACTTAAGGAGACTAATCAAATCTGAAGAAGTTTCTGTCTTAAACTCAGACAAAACAACAATTATTCAGTACTATCTTAAGGTCTCAATGATGTTCATCGGCCGATATTAGTTGGAGATGATCTTTTGACAAAAAAAATTACCCGTATGTTAGAAGAGATGATCTGTACCTGACGATATAAACCAGGACGCACGTTTCATTCTATTTGAGACTCATCAGTTGGATATATCTGAATCCCAAGGTTGATGTTCACATTTGGACTCAAACTCAGTATTTGTCTCTTCGAACATTAATGTATTATCTACTGAGCTACTAAGACCAGATAGCTACGAAACTATTCAACAGGTACGCTGTTAGTAAGGGCTTGAATTATCCCGTTTATGATATTCTTGATTGAAATCCAATCAGCCCTTGTTAAAATATATCCTGCGAAAATTGCTTCGATATAACCATCTTACATAACTTTATATGCTCAACATTGTTCCAGAAGCTTCATTTACACAGCAAAAACAACAGGCATATACATATAAAAAAGAGGGAGTGAACATAAACCCACTTTCTTTCTCAGATAAATATCTTTTATCAACACAGCGTGTTGGTATAAAACGACCAGACTTTGGATCAATATACGTTTGACCCAATACTAAACCAACAGGGAGGAAACGTTTAAATGGTTCTCTACACGGTAGTACATTTATATCATGAAGGAAATGTGCAATAAAACGAGCATAGTACAGATGACGAACAGCTAAATGTAGAAAGCAGAAAATAAATGGAAGAAAATGGTAAATGTTTGAATGTTTTTGAAGGCAGAAATGCTGATTCCTTACAACAACAAAAAACTGACATACGTTTAAGAACTGTTAAAAACCAGATAGTAACTGGCAATGTTTCTTATTGTAATGAACAAGAACACCAGTGGGGACAATTGAATGTATTTAAGTACGAAGTTACAGAGCATCTGAGAACCATATAGTAAAGGCTTAATTTGCAAAATGTCCGTCAGTTGTCTCAAAATGACTCAGACTTCATTGTTCGTGCATTTTCATACAAATTGTATTCTGTTTCCATTCTTTACTGTTCGATCCTCTTGTCTCTCTGTTGCCAGACATTCTGTTCATGACTAACGTCATATACTACTTATGTCGATATAAGTAGCACACACCACACCATTACGATTAAATGTATCCTCAGTAGAATGTACATTTACAACGCACTGTACAGTAGTAAATTTAGTATTTTCAACTTACCAGATAAAAACACAATACTTTTCTATTAATAATAATAAGGTGAAATCATATTATGGTCCATATTTGAAAATACAGTCAATGCTTTTCTCCGATGAATGAATTAGAGATACTTAAATATGCTGCAATATTGGTAAATACGTGTTCAGAGGAAATAGTTGTTCAGCTAAGTAAATAGCTTTTTATCAGGTCGAAAAGAAATGACATTTTACATTCTGTATTATCTTGAAGGTGTAACACTGGTCATTACTCAGTGATCGACCAATTGAAAGCATCTTAGTTCTACAGGTCAGGGTTGTGTTAGGCGTTATCATATTGATATAAACGATTCCCATAAGCAAGCCCAATCAGCTATTTGAGTGAGAAAATCAAACTTAAGTAAAAATCTCTTATCGGATATCCTGAGTTGAAATACATGCTCAAACTCAGAGAATTAGACCGGATTTTCAATGAATAGTAAATATCTGCCTCCTGACCAATAGTGTGCGCCCTTTAACATTTCCTACTTATTGTTTAGCCTTGAAATGACATATCTGACTAATGTAGCCTATCAGTCTGTCGCAGCCCAAATACCACAGCAATAACATCACAGTCAGCCAAGGTGAATGGTTTGAATTCCACAAGAAGCATCAGTCCCCTCAAAATTGCTAACGATCCTCAACTAGTACGAAACCTGGGTCACTTAGGGTTTTCTACCAACTACCTCCAACCATCCAACAATTAGGATTTATGCAGCTTCAATAAATTACTTTCACAAACCGACAACAATAACTTACCATGCTCCATACCTCCAATGTAAACGTCAACAGGTAAACTATTAGCTGCTTTACTCCTATCACAAATCGATGAATTATTCTGTGGGTCCAAATATCGTAAATAATACCATGATGAATCAACAAATGTATCCAGTGTATCAGTTTCACGGTTCGCTGGATTACCACATCTAGAATTTTAAAAACACTTAAACCACATAGATTGGTGCATATATATATTTACCGTACATTAGTTACTAGTTTTAAAATGGGTTTCCAAATAAAGACATACTCTAATACTTGGTAATTAATGTCCGTAAGTACGGGATGCATTTTGGACCTTACAAATATAAGTTGTTTCTGCAAGACTGGGTCATTTTTCGCACCGTCCTGATGTTAATCTGTCTGTAAAAGGTCAGTTTTACAACGACCAGCTGTGGGTAGTTCTGATCTACATCTGAAACGTGGCGTCCATGATCTGAGAATGTTCGACACATTTCTGTAACATAATCAACTTTGACTTTGAAAGATTGCTCATATACGATGGCAACATCATGTAAGTACTGTCAAAGTTCAGCTATATATATTCAAATATAGCTGATATGATACCTACATAAAAATTTTTATATTTTAAACATATCATTTCAGCGGCCTTCATATAGCGCATAAAATCTTGAGGCTAACTGAAAGAAAAAAGTTAACAGGTTAGTTGATGAAAATTTCCCCAGGAATGTAAGACAGTTACATAACTGACATATTGACCTATCGTAACTGTATGGGTAAATTCCTAAAAATTACGCAATTCAGTGGCTAGAAACCTTATCAAACGTGACTCGTAATAGGAACCAGTGGCAACCCTGTATTTAAAGACGGTCGTTTCGTCCTAGCATGGGACTCCTCAGCAGTACACACTCACGATCCCGCGCGTGAGATTCGGACCCGGGGTCTTCGGTCTCGCACGCGAACGCTAAATCTCTAGATTACTGGGCCGGCATCCAACGGTGTTAATGTCTAACTTCAACCAATCCACGAAATTGCGCTTCCAAGTTATCAATGGTGGTTTAGCATTGATCGACTCACAATTTCAATCTAATATATCTATTTCTATCAACAAATGCGAGAGCAATAACCACACAATAAATACTATTAAGATGAAAACTATTTATATAATTAGTTATGGAAACCAATTTAATTTGAGATCGTTCTCATCATAGACCATAATGAATTCTTCACGAGGTACTGATTTTAAACTGTTGAGGGTCCTCGAACCAAGATGAAACATAGGCTCAGTAATTCCGACATTACAATAGATAAATGAAATGGAGATTAGCAAAAAACTCAAAATAACAGCTTCCTTACTTAGGACAAGTTGTTTTACGCCAGGATTCATTATGCTTTAAGGGTTCATCACCTCGTTTCAATGAACTTTCTAGTGGAGGTAGAAGTACAGGGAGTTGGTTTTCTGGTACTGGTACTGCCTATATATATTTAAAAAATATAAAATGATTGAATAAGAGAATTTGTAATTTAATTACATATATAGGACCAATATTTTTCAGTAATCACACGGGAGATGACATATACTATCCAGCTACATGTATACCTATCCATTGCTTGCCACAACGTAGTGTTAGATGACATAGAAGTAGATTGGAAAGGAGTAATCAAACCAAGTGTATGAAATATTCACTGCTGGTTTGAGCCATTTCGACAAGTGCAGATTAACTGATTGGAAACTGTTAGGGACGTTAGATCCACAGAACTCACTTGGAATAAGTCCTAATTTTGTAATTTTGTTCTGAAAATTTGAATTTTTTGTTTTCGCGCCAAGAGCGCTCTTTTCACCTTCATGTCGTATTTCCCACTTGGGAGAATCTTAAACGCTATTGGTCCGGTGTGTCTTTTAGTACGCTGTTTTGTAACTCTCCCAAAGGACGGTTTTGTGCTGTATATATACGTTTTGATTTGTTTGTTGTTATCGTTCGTTTCTGGCTGTATGCGGAATATACTTCCCCATTTCAAACTTGGACTTCTTCCGGTAGTTAGCGGGGCTGGGACGTATCGAATAGCTAGTTTATTGGTCTTTGGTCACCGAGTCTTTGTTACGTTCGCAGATTAAGTGAACTCGTAAACGCTTCAAACCTAGCAGAAATATTGAATGCTATGGCTTAAAAACTGATGTAGTGATGTAAATAAATTCAAACTACGATTTCTGCGACATTTTCAGTTTCCATATTATTTCCTAATTTCTGTTGGGCCCTTTAATCTCGTCCCCTCGAACCATATTTTCTGTCATGAATCTTTTTTGCCAGCATCAAAACTACAACTAGTTCTATTATTGCTGTTATTTACCTTGTTAATTTCATCTCTCTGTTCTGATAGGGTGTAGTAACTTGAGCAAATGTACGTTCGTACCATACCAAAGGTCCTTTCTTGGGTTACTGGAGGTCCCAAGCCTGAGAAAAAGAAGGGTCGAGGATTGGGTTAGCATTTTCATTCCGTGAAAAAGAAATGTTTCCCCGCCTTCTTCACGCCACTTCCAACCAATAATTACATTCAGTCTAGTTGAATCATTGTGTAATTTAAATTAATAAACATTAAGTACATTATTAATTATTTATTATTTGAACAAATACGTATTGGTACGACAGTGCGCCAAATATATGTGCGATAATGCCCAAGGCGTGCAATCCGCACTTAATCAGTTGGCAATCAGTGTCCGTAAGTATGATGCTTTGCACCTTCGAAGTGCAAAGTACTTCTACAAGACTGGCAGGATTCCAATCCTGTACTCACCCTGGATGGTGAACAGATAGAAGTAGTCGAGAAGTTCGTGTATCTAGGTAGCTGCATAAGTGCTGGTGGGGGTGTGAGTGATGAGATCAATGCACGTATAGTGAAAGCCAGAGCGGCTTATGCCAATCTGGGCCACCTTTGGCACCTTCGTGATGTTAGTCTGGCCGTAAAAGGTCGGATCTACAACGCGTACATGAGAGCAGTTCTACTCTATGCTTGTGAAACCTTGTCTCTCCGAGTTGATGACGTTAGACGACTCTCTGTGTTCCATCGTCGTTGTCTCAGAAGGATTGCTGACATTCAGTGGCAACACCATGTCAGTAATGCAGAGGTTCGGCATCGTGTGTTCGGGTGCAGAGATGATAATGCAATCGATGTCACCATCTTGAAACACTGACTTCGGTGGCTTGGACATGTTCTCCGAATGTCGTCCCAGAGAATTCCACGTCGTCCATTATTTACCTACTCTGGGACTGGTTGGAAGAAGCGGAGAGGTGGTCAGTGCATGACATGGTGTCGTGGCATGAAAGAAAGTTGCAAAAGGACTGGCTTCTATCGGTCCTTCACGACTCCCTGGTTGGGGTCCGAGAGATGGTGCAGCACAGTGGCTAGAGACGTTATCAGATATGGCTCAGAATAGAAGCCAGTGGCGATCCTGCTGTAATCTTCTTTTACTTTCTTCGTAAAAAGTGGTTGTATCTTTCTTAACTGAAAGATTTCTTATGATTGTACCTTTCTGTTCCCCCACTATTACTATTATTATCATTACACTACCTTACACCAATGTCTTCGTTATTGTTCTTTTTTACGTTCCTTACTTTTTTTCTTTTCTCCTTCTTAAATTCTCATTGTTTTGTGTGACGTATATATCTTTTGCGCACTCCTGTACCAATATATATGTGTTCAAATGAATAAATAATATAAACCGAGTAAGCAATGTCTTCATCAGTTGAGGTGGTTGGGACACGTGTTATGTATATCTAACTACCAGTGTCTACCTCGACCAGCGATGTTGTCTGGTTTACGAATAGACTGGGAGAAAGCTAGGACACAATAAACCAACACATGACATCAGTCCATGAAATCACTGACCACAAGAATGAGTCAAATTAATAAGTGTGAACTATCTGATTGGAGTCCACAAAATCGATTGAAATCACACATGTGGATTCATTCTCTATCTTCCTCGAGATTCTGAGCTTCTGATTTCCTCATAACACTTCTTGTGCTTCTATTTCACTAATTTATATTTTCTTCTCGAATCGTATCTTCGACACCTAATTTTTTCTATTACCATTGATGCAGTTACTACATCTAATATTCTTGGGTTTGGTCTGTCAATTTCATGTGTCCGTGCTAATGTGGCATAGCAACTTGAACCGATGTATACACATACTAGGTTCTACACTACGACTGATTGATTGGATGGATTAAACTCTCCAATACACAAAGCATCTCCTAATTAGCAGTGAGTGAATGAACTAGAACAAAGGTTTTTAATGCCCTACAGTTAAACATTTAAGTTAATAAAACCATCAATTATAGTTCGATTTTTGCTCTCAACTACTTCTATCAACTTATATGAACCCATTAATAACAAACATCTTCATCTATCTAAATTCAAACATTTCAGTTTAATTTCATTGTAATGATGAAGTACCAGAAACAGATAAAAGAAAATCATCTCATAGATAATATATATATATATATATATATATATATATATATATATATATACCTTACCCCACATGAATCACAATGTATAATTGGTATAGGAGTGCCCCAATAACGTTGTCTAGAGATTAACCAATCAGTACGCATATCATTACATCGATAACCACCACGTCCACTAACCTAACAAAAGAATGAGTAGTGAGAATTTTTACAAATTACAAATAACAAGATTTAAATATGAATTTACATTAAAATATATCAAAACAAAAACTGTATTTTTTCTTAAGTTAGATTTATACTCTTAAATTTTTAATAGACATTATGTTATAACGCCGGGATTTCCATGTCTACATGAATGGAACTTAAATTTACCTTTGATAAATATCTACATTAGATACCCCTTAAAATGTCGATTCTACAGAAACTTCAACACACAACTCAGATCAAGAATATATGACTAACCTGACTAGAACGTAAGTATATTTCCACATTAAAAACCGACAAAAATCACAAGAATAGTAACAATAATAATAAGGGTAAGAAAATATATAACTGATCTAATACCTATCAGACAATTTATTTTATTTTATTTCAACACATAGATATTGGTACAAATAAGCACCAAATACATATGCGCCACACAAATCTCATTCGATATGTGTAAGGGCTGTGATACTGATCGGATGCCCAAACCGGAGCAGGTGGTTTTCTGAGAGGACCACACCCGGAGCCTTCGACCTGAAGGTATGATCCACGAGGCAGTGGAGCATCGTAAGGAGATGCAGTCCCATGGTAGCCGGTGACCAATAATTGGTTCATACGCCATTTGTTCCCTCAGGGTACTGGAGTCCATGTGCACCATTAGTTTGGAATTAGGGTTTCCCAACTCCTCTAGGTGGACTCTCCATGTTCACCAACCCTGTTAAAGCGCCGGACATTCGCTTTTCGTCCTCTTAATTTCGTAAACAACACTCCCGCCATGAGAAAGACAATGAGTAGGGCTTCTCTGGCAGAGGCTATATACGCGTGGCCATGTGAGAGCATTTCGAGAGGGAGAGCAGACTCTCCCCACTCTCGGCCGTACCAGGGCATTTGAGGGCTAAATAAACAATCAATCATTTTCCTTGTCCGTACATAACTTTAATACTCTTGTTACAAAAATTTGCCTCATCTAAACAATTACTAATCTAAGTACATAGAACTAAGAATAAATATTGTTAGGTTTGTTAATTTGCACGACATAAAACCAAAACTATTAATTCTCACTATAAAGAGAAAAGGATGGTGGTTAACAGTGGAATTCAGGACATGCGTTTCGTCTTATTTCGGGACTCGTCAATTGAATGTATCTCCATTCCAAAGTTGGTGTTCACTCTACAACTCAAACCCAGTACCGTTCACTTCAAATACCATAAAACAACCAATGCAAAATGTATTAATTTCCACATTATCATAAATCATTATATCTAAGTGATTAATATTTTCACTGGTTAAGATGAAAGATATGTTATGTTCTATGGTTCGATTTAGTTACAATGTACACTAACTAAAGTATATCGAAACCTATTTTATTCGAATAAGAAGATTGTAATGAAAAAAAAACATTTGATTGATTATAGTCCACACAAGTTATAGGTAAAAAAAACGTTTATCCTTTTGACCCAGACAAGCATGTATAGGTAAAAACTTTGAGTGAGAACTTCATTGTCTTCCTTTATAATTTATTACCTACAGTCTATCTCTAACAAGCATGTGATATGTCTATACTCGTAAGTGTAATCGAGCTTGAGTCATACTTGGTTGCCTAAACCGAAATAATGAAATCAGGGCTTTAACCCATAAGTTAATAGTTGAAAGTTCAGTGCTATAATCATTAATCAGTATCCTTAAAGTATGAAGAGACTTATGGATTACTTAATACAAACCAAATTAAAAGTCAATGTTGATTCATTTACATTTATATTTACCCTGTGATGAGGTAGTAACATAATGTAGATGAATTACTCAAGTTATTTATCATATATTCTTCATATCGACTAGTGAGATTAACTTTTTTTAAAATGGGATTAATTGTTTCATATTGAGTTATTTGCTCTTTTTAATACTGATAATTAATCATAAACAGAATTATCAGTATAGGGGTTGTGAAGATTTAGATCATGAAGTGATTGATGTTAGACCACCATTGGAAACCTGGAAGCACTGGACGTCCGTTCCGTCCTATTATGGGACTCCTTAGCAGTGCACGAACACTTAACCTCTCGACCATTAAGTCGTGGATTGGTTGAGGTTAGACAATAATACTGTTGGATGCCAACTCATTGGTCTAGAGGTTAAGCGTTCGAGCGCGAGACCGATGGCCTTGAGTCAGAATCCCGAGGGCAGGATCGTGGATGCGCACTGTTGAGGAGTCCCACAATAGGACCAAACGGCCGTCCAGCGCTTCCAGGTTTATATAAATGAATGATTTATGATAGAGATTACAAGAATTTATAGATACATTGTTTTTCCATTATTCATGAAATTGTTATGTTGTTTAAGGGCTCTAGTCATGTCAAACGATATAAAGAAATATCCTTTGATCTCATTTGTATCTAAATTCATTTCCGCATTCACAAATGAGTGTCTTTCGAAAGAATTCAACATCTTACATGTATTCAACAATGATTTTCGAGCCAAAATTAATCATTGTATGATTGGTAGTAAACATTCTATTTTGAGATATGAGCCATGACTTTGAAGTCCTTTTCTCAATCCTAATTGATTTGGAATCATAATTGAATTTAAGCAAACGTGTAACAGTATAATCATTATTATTTTACTATAAAAACTCACTCTAATCAAATAATAAGTCAATTCATTGTACTATCCAACTCAAGCAACTACTACTACAAATATTTATTCTTTAATATAACCATTATCATCAAAACAATAAAAAGAAACTCAATTGATCGATATTAATCAATTAAAATCAATGAATATAAATCACTGGACATGCAGAAAACAACACAACAACAATTATCATACAAAGAATAAATAAGTAGGAAATACAGAATAGGGAAAATATAGGAACAAAAAGGGATAGAAGATAGCAAAGAGAAAAAAAGGAAGGACAACATAGCAGAACACAATATAAAGAATTAGAATCGTAGTGAATACATAATTATAAGTGAAAAGGTTTACAAACCAAAAACCGGTTCAGAAAATACTATTCAACATATTATTCTATTATGTAATTGGCCTTGAACCACATTATCTGTGTAATGACTGCATAAACCGAAGTGACTGAAATGGAGTTTGAATCTACGAACTATTAGTTGGAAGTTAAGTGTTTTAGAGATATTAAGCAGGGAATCTTGAATTTAGGTTTCACGATAGTTGCTACTTATCAGTAATGTGTAACTACAATCATAAGTGGAATGATATCCTTTCTACTGTAGTGCAATATAACCGATGAGATTTAATAACCTTTAAAAGAACTAGACAAATACGAAATTGGTCATTGGATAATGAACAGTTAGTCGTAAAATGTGACAATCGTATAACTAATAGTTTGGTCTAAAATTGATATTTGCCTAGATAGATGCTGAGATCTTAATATACTATTGTTTACATAACGTAATGTTGGATAAGTATACCATATGTATTCATAAAACTTATGACTATAGCAGAAATTTTGTTGCACTAAATATCTTAGATGATTAGATAGAACTATGTGCTTTTAATATGTTCAGTATCTACAATTTTCTAAGTCAACTCTGTCATATACATGCTGTTTACTATAGGTTGATATCATACTTTAACTCCGCTTGTAGCTCTTCTACAGTTACTGCCGGTCCCATATATGGGCAAATGAGGAGGGTTGAGCATGGGGATTAGCGACCCCATTACGTAGAAAACTAACTTGCTAAAAAAAGCGCTAACCAGGAAATAATGATAGCATACTTAAATGAAAGGTGTAAAGCAAGCATTAAAATAGTGTTTTTTTACTCTAAATACAATGATGAAATGCAAATATTAAATGTTATGAAGGATGATACTTTTGGAATTTAATCACAAAACACCCATAATAAGCACGACCCGACATCGATTCACAGTGATTTTGCTCATTTAATATTTATCTTCATCTAAATATTGACTTTAGTACACTTTTCTACATCTTCATTATCACTTTGAAACCCTTACACTGTATCACATGTTAACTTCAATATTTTCTTTTGCCAATATAAATTGGGGAAATTTGGGCCACTATGCATTTATCCTAAATTCTATTGCAGTATCCTATGACTAATTAAAATCCATACATAATACATTGTACAATAGAACAATTCTTAATTCAAATCAATTTTGAACTGTAAAATTCACTCATAAAACAATTGATTGATTGTGTTGTCCCGTTGTACTATTTAAACTTGGATTAATTTTAATTTGCTTATTTATTTACTCTGAAGAAGTGGCTTACACCAAGTTACGAAACGTCAGAAAATCTAATTGTTCTACTCATTGTGATATCTACAAATATATTACTTTTATTTATTTATAACAATCTACCCAATGCTAAATTTATTCGAAATTATCAAATCAAATCTTGGTAATCATACTTATAATTAACTAAATGGTTTAGCTTAACTTACCTTTAAGATTTGCATAGCTTTATCCATAGATTCACCAACTGTTTTCCCATGAAGCTTTTAGAAAAATTAAGCGTGAAAAAAAGGTCATTGATATTTTCTCTCATATGGGAAATTAGTTTTTATTGCCTGAAATGATTAGAATTAGGAAGAACTACTAAACTGTCTATTAGTTTGTTGAAACATTCGATCTTGAATCAATGAGGAGGCACCAAATATATGCGCCCGAACAGATGCAGGTGGTTTTCTTAGGAGACTACTCCCCAAGTCTTAGATCTAAAGATCTAATCCATAAGGCATTAAAACAACGTTAGTAAATGCAGTCCCATGATAACCGGTGATCAACAATAGGTTCATACACTATTTGTTCTCTTAAGATCCTGGAACGCACGTGCACCATTGGTTTGGAATCAGGGTTTACCTATTCCCCTAGGTGGATCCTCCATACCCACAAACCAGGTTAAAGAGCCAGACATTCGCTTTTCGTCCTCTCAACTTCGTAAACAACACCATCTCGAGAAGACAGTGAGTAGGACTTATCTGACAGGGGCTGTATATGCGTGGCCATGTGAGAGCATTTCAAGAGGTAGAGTGAACTCTCCTCACCGCCAGCCGTACCAGGGCATCTGAGGGCATGTGGAAGATTCAGAGCATATGAAAGAAAACGAATCTACTTTATCCTATATTATTTTTTATTTTTGTTTGCTAAAAGGTTATCACAGTAACTAATTAAATGCAACTAGGAATTACTTTCTAAGTATACCAATTTACTGTACATATAAACAAGAAATATATATAAATGATAAAAATAATGAGATCCCTCTCTGTGTTGTATGTGGATAGAAAAAATAAATTAATAAGTAATAATAGATTAATATAAATAGTGGAGTTATTTTGAAACGGCCAAATTAGTGACATTTCATCCGCAAGATTTTGATTGAAATCAGATCCAAAGCGCCAAATACAAATTCACATGAAAACTATATGTTTAGTACCTCAGTAGATGAACTCAGAAAAAGTATAACGAAGCATAGGATCAAACGTTATGATGGAGCAGCAGCTCACTAGCTAGGGCATTCGACCTTTAGCAACTAGGTCCAGGGTTAGAATCCCAACCAATCTACTTGGAGTTGAGCAACCGGCTAGTAACATTGGTCTGCAAAAATAGAGTGTGGTTCAGAACTATGTACATGGATCTGTACCTGGTAAGCAAGCTATTCTTTCACTTTAGTTAATGTTAACACTCATTTGCCAAAACAGAAGTAGATGGAGTGAGGTTTACAACCTCGATCCAGTAGTATTGATTAAAATGTAAGTAATTCACGTAATAAACCATCGCTGAACTATGCATCAACCAAATATAAAATGTCAATAGACTGGTCGACAAAAACAACATATTTTCAGTTCCATTGATTGGTAGAAGTAATAGCGTGTAATGAGGTAGTAGGCACGAGGAAAGTTAAAAGCGTTCAAACAAAAACATATCATCAGTCCATCAAGTCATTGACCATGTCGCTACATGCACACTATTTCATTGCAGTTTGCATGATAAGCATGGTTGGTGGTTGAAGGTTTAGAGTGATAAGGCTCAGAATTGTTTGTAGCAGTGCAGACACATTTACTCTTTATCTTCCACATAATTTTTAAAAAATTCCAGTATTCCTCCATATAAACCATTCTACTCTATCTTTTAAGACCATAATATCAAAGTTAAGTCATTCTTTATATTATTATTACTATTACCACATTATTTTGATCTCTTTTGATGTATTCATCTTACTGTGATAATAAGGTATTGAAACTTGTTCCATGCTCTATTTCGGTGATGTCTATCTGTACAATAGAAATGAAAGTCAGAATGGGTTTCGTGGAGTTTTTTTTAGAAATTTCATAGGTTGAAATCATGAGTCGATTGAAGCTAGACCACCATGGAAAACCTGGAAGCACTGGACGGCAGTTTTGTCCTAGTACGGGACTCCTCAGCAGTGCGCATCCACGATCCCGCACCACGCGGGGTTCGAATCCAGGACCTACTGGCTTCACGAGCGAGCACTTAACCACTAGACCACTGAGCCGGCATCCAACGGTGTTAATGTCTAACTTCAACCAATCCACGAAGTTGCGCCACCGTACACCATTACGGGATCGTGGATGCGCACTGCTGAGGAGTCCCGCACTAGGACGAAACGGCCGTCCAGTGCTTCCAGGTTTTCCATGGTGGTCTAGCTTCAATCGACTCATGATTTCAACCTATGAAATTTCTAGAAATAAAAGTATTAAATACCTAATTTAGTATTATTGCAGAGAAATGATAAACGATATTTTATGCAATTTCGAGATGGTAGAAGATTTGTAGATCAGGTGGATGATTTTGATGGAGTTTTGTTCTCCGAGCTGGATGGTTTGGTTGTGGAGCTTTCATCATCATGAAAGCTCCACAACCAAACCATCCAGCTCGGAGAACAAAACTCCATCAAGATATTTTATACACATAAATTGAAGTACATACAAACAAACAAACAAAAAATGAATTGTTTTTTACATACTTCAAAGATTGGAGTGGATAATATACAACATTTCAAATCCTCTTCATTAATGATAACATTAGATTCATCTAAATTTAATAAATCTTTTCCTGGAGAAATTAATTTTCCTGGTGGTAAAGGTATATCTAATGATTCTGATGAGAAGTCAGATGTTTGACCATTTATAGAAAAGACTAATGACAATTAAAAAAGATTGAGGGAAAAAAATATTTGAATGGAAGTAATATGTATACAATAATTAAACAATTTAACAAAATGAAATTAAGATAAATCAATTAGTAACACATTACTTTCAATATGGTGGCGTGAGTGATGAGATCGATTCACGTATAATGAAAGCCACAGAGGCTTATATTAATCTGGGCCATCTTTGGCACCTTCATAATGTTAGGCTGGATATAAAAGCTCAGATCTACAATGTGTCGATGAGAGCAGTTTTGCTCTATACTTGTGAAACCTGGGCTCTCCGAGTTAAGGATGTTAGACGACTCTCTGTATTCGATCATCGTTGTCTCCGGAGGGTTGCTGACATCTAGTGGCAACACCATGTCAGTAATGCAGAGGTTCGGCATCGTGTGTTCGGGCACAGAGATGATAATTCAATTGGTGTCACCATCTTGAAACACCGACTTTGGTGGCTTGGACATGTTCTCCGAATGTCGTCCCAGAGAATTCCACGTCGTGAATTATTTGCCGACGCTGGGACTGGTTGGAAAAAGAGAGGTGGTCAGTGTATGACGTTATCAGATATGGCTCAGAATAAAAGCCAGTGGCGATCCTTCTGTAACCTTCTTTTACCTTCTTCATAAAAACTGACCGTAACTTTTTTGACTGAAAAGATTCTTTCTGGTTGTACCTTTCTGTTTCCCCCATTATTATTACTATTTCACTACCATACACTAATTTGTGGTCGTTATTGTTCCCTTTTCTTCTTTTTACATTCACATTACATCCTTTATCTCTCTCCATTCTCATCATTATTGTGTGGTGCATATGTATCTGGTGCCCCCTTGTACTAATATTTATGTGTTCAAATAAATAAATAAATACTTTCAACGTAGTAATATATGGTCAGTTATATTTAGAAAATAATTTCTGATAGTGTGGTGTGAGCTACTTATATCCACATAAGTAGTATATGATGATAGTCAGGAGTAGAATATATTTCAGTAGATCATGGAGGAAAGAACGAGAACGGAAAGTAATTGGTAAGCAAATGAAGGAACAATAAAATCTGAGGCAATTGATTCATATTATGCAAATTAGATATTTACTGTCTGCTTCTCAGATTTTACTAAGTGATTCTGTAATTTTGTGTTGGAATATGTTCGATCGTCCCCCATTTGTGTTCTTGTTCACTACAATAGTATATACACTTACAATTCAGAGGCGGTACACCTAGTGAAATCCTAAGACCGAAGTTATGCAGATCAATCCAAAGAACTTTTAATGCAGGTAAACTACAATTAATGTTTTCCACATGTCCAATGATCACTTCGAGGTTGAAAGATAAATTGCCTAGACTAGCCACTTTTTTCTGTATCTATCAATTCAACTGCTCCTATGGAGCAAGTTATATTGGCAGATGTTCTAGAAACGTGTATATTCGGGTTCGTAATCACCTCTCAGTGTGGTTAAATAAAGGTGTACTTAAAACGGTTGACAGTTCCATTTTAGCCCATTTAATTCATACTAATATTAATAAATTTATCATGTATATTAGATTCTGCTTTGCTTATGACTAACCGATAGGTGTAATATTGTAGGCTATAAATAATTGTAACCATTGGATAAAATAACTATTTCATCTCAAATGACTTTATTAGAGTAAAATAAACGATATGGAAAATCCATCTAGAGGAATTGGAAAATCCTGATTCCAAACCAATGGTGCACATGGGCTCCAGGATCCTAAGGGAACAAATGGTGTATGAACATATTGTTGGTCATTGGCTACCATAAGACTGTATCTCCTGACGTTGCTCCACAGCCTTGTGGATTAGACCTTTAGGTAGAAGGCTCAGAGTGTGGCCCCCGAGTTTAGGCACCCGGACAGTATCCTAGCCCTCACACAAATTGAATGATTTATGTGGCGTACATCTATTTGATACCTTCTTGTACTAATGACCTAAGCGAAGAAAGATCATTAGTTGCTTGAACTATTTCACAAAATGAACTAATTACTCTATTTTAAAAAAAGAAAATAATAATAATAATCATACCTAATTCATTTGGATAAGCTCTAGGAAGTTTAGATAATGGAATATTTTCACGAATTATTGGAATAGAACGTCCTGTAAATGGATGACGAATAAATATGTTTAAAATTTCCGGCCAAGGTGATACAGATGTACATGATGTAATAGATAATTTATTATTACTATCATTATGACATGAATTATTCCAGTCTGAGTATAAGATTAACTTTCGACTAAAGTTTAAATCACGTTTATGCTCAGGCTATGGATAATAAATAAATAAATAAATAAATAACAAATTAGAAAGTGAGACATATACAAACAACTATATGAACGTTAATTATTTAACTGAATACAGTATAATTAATGCCAGTCAGCTACAACGCAAGACCAAGCATATATATGCATCGGTTCAAGTTGCCATAACACATTAGCACAACAAGATGAACACCAAACTCATAGGAGTAGTTAATTCAGTGGTGGTAATATATAAAAGAAAGATTGAATATAAGGACAGGAAGAAAGACATGAAGCAATTTTAATTTCATAGTTTAAGGGAAGATAGAAAGTGTATACACCTACTCCATTGTGATCGATTCTGAGCCATGTCACCCACAGTCTCCAACTATTGATTACGATAATTACGCGGATCCCAACCAAATAGTCTGCATCTACCAACATGGCTTAGACCACAAGTTAGTGACTTCAAGCACTGATGCCACATTTTGGTTTGGCCGCCCCTAACTTTCTTCCAACCATAGTATAATTAATGAGTGGAAAATAAATTATTGACAAGTTGAGATTATCAATTTGTCACATATTTTATTACAATTTCCCATCAATAAATCAGTAACTTAACATTACTTCAACATTAATAAATGAATATTCAATCCAAATGACCATAGTTTCTTTAAAAACTAACCAATAGGAATAATAATTAGGTATTCAACTTGAAATTAGGTTTTATTACGCATTAGGTAACAGCAACACAGAACCATTGAAAAATAGGAGCATACTTGATGATTATTTCATCTTGACTAGAAATCTTGTTAGTCGTATGTACTAACGACACAATGTGAGACCTAACTGTAAGTTTTTAACTTAGTTATCAGACTCAGTTTCCTATGCGTTTATGGGTACACTTTGTTAAAGATCCACTAAGTAGGACGAAACAACCATTTAATCCTCCCTGATTTCTTGACAGTTAATTTGTTGATATCTAGGCATGGTCGCAACAATAGTTAACAGAGATTCGTCTTTTCTTATAAAAAATAGGATAGCTATATGCACAGTTATTGGTGACAAGTGCCTACACGACAACGATACTTCTTTTGTCGGAACACTCAATAGCTCAAGAGATATCTGAAAATCCAGACAAATTTGATTATTAATGAGTAGTTGGTAACGTTAAAGTTTTTATGTCCTCAGGAATTAAATTGTGTGTTATTTGGATAGAAAAATCTAGGAATCTATAGGGTTTATCGCATAACATTATCATAAACATGGATGGTTAATAGAAATAATGATACGGCCGTGAAAATTGATATACGGGAATTTATATCTGGGTTTTTATTTGATTCGTTGCCACTGAACTTATAAGACTGCAACTAGCCTTCTGTAAGACCAAATTACCGAGTGATTTACTGTATCTGATAACAGCATTACTAGCTAATGGCAGACCGGTTAACATATATGCATCGGACGACCCTCTAATAGTCTCATGTGATGTCAGTTTTCCGGTTAGAAAATAACCAGTCAAATTAACAGTTTACCCAACACTAGTCACTAGCAAAGTGTTACACTGCTAAGGCCATCCAGGTCAAAAGTGATAGAAAGTGCTAACCAGCTACATTGAGTGGGATCACATATTTTATCATAGTTTGAAATCAAGGAAGCGTTGGTATTTTCCCTTAATGCCTTGGTTTTAAACTTAACGACGGTATGTTGAACGATGCACACTTGTTAATCAATTCTTAAACGTGGAAGAATAATTTCTTCCGCTTACAGTGGCTCCGGAAACAAACGGAGAGAAAATCCATGTTATTATCAACAAATTGTTACGATTACACAAGTAAAAAGAGTGGCATACCTTTCGATAGATATCTGAAAAATAAACACTATCCGGTCCAACTTTTACATGACTGATTAAATCAGCAACTGCTAGACTCGGATATTTTGTAAATACAACTAGTCGTTCATTTTGAGGTACGATATTCTTTAAATGTCCACAATCCAGAAATGATTGTTGTGGATTAATTTCATGGTGTTCGGTAGATGAGTAAATATTGAACTCCATTTGAGTACCATTCAAATGACCAAGCCAACCACGTTGCAACTGGATGACGTCACGCCACTGATTATTCTCAATATCTTTTAAACCATCTAAAAGAGACTAAACAATAGATATTAGAGGATTCAAAGATATTGAAATTAGTGTAAAGTGTTTTGCGGTCCAGTCCAGTCACAACATACACTTTCTATGGTATAACACATTGTACAAATAAGAAGACGGAAATGAATAGGATAGTTTAATTAACAAACCGAATTATAATCTACACAAACTTTAGGTATATACACGATTCGTCTTCTAACCTAAACAAAGATACGTAGGATGAAACCCAGGGTGCAGTATAATCGACTTCCTTAAATAACGTGTCTTGTTTACGATCTCTCACCTATCATTTGACCCTGAGGTGACAAGAGCACAAGCACGTGACATAGCCATACTTATCCTGTCTATCATGATAGTACTTTATTAATTGCAAATGAAGTAATAATAACGATATGAATAATACGACTTATATGCCAATGAAAACCATGCACTCAGTTGTTAATCACATTACAGGCGATAGTTGACCAAACTTAAACAAATGGAGTAAGGTTCAAACCCATAACTTTTACCTAAGAGCTGTACATCTTTGAAAGACTAAGGTTCCATTCCGCTTCAAATGAATGAAACAAAATGCCATAAACAAAAAAATGTACAACTGAAATATGAGTATCAAAAGAAATCACTTTATTGCACTGATCTAAATTAGGTCGATAAAAACTAAACTACAATCGATACCCTATAATTAATTTTAGTAGATCTATCACTCATTTGCTGAATGAATACTGCAACCTTCTAACTAACCTAATACTTTATATTATCCTGTAGAATAAGTTCGATAAAAATGATTTAAAACTTTTTAGTACGCGATACAAAAAAAGCACATGAATACTATTCGATACATGTTAACATACCTCAGAATAAGCAGTTGTTCGGAAAAACCATTGACGTAAAGGACGTCGTTCCACTTTAGCACCAGAACGCCATGAACATCCTTGACTGTCAATAAGTTCATCTGCTAAGACAGTCTGATCAATAGGATCCCAATTGACATAGGCTGGACGATGATAAGCCATGCCTGATTGATATAATTTAAGAAAAAGCCATTGTGTCCATTTATAATAATTAGGATCACAAGTGCTTAATTCTCTTGACCAATCAACAGCCAAAGACATGGTTTCATTTATTTGTTGTTTCATTGTAAGTATGTTTCTGAAATAACACATAATAATACAATTATAGAAATTATGGGAACGAGCAGGTTAGAAATCGTAGGCAAGCAAACCAAGACGTGGGGTCGATCCATAGAACAACTAATTAATGAAGTCATGTTGATGAGTACAAACTACATGATTAGGGTTTGAGGGATTATCGTAACCAATGGTTGGACAGCATGACTAAAAATCAGTTGCAATCGCATAGATAAATCCACACTTTGTTTCTTCCTAGATTTCGAGTTTTTTTAATTATCTTGTACATTTTTATTCCGTGGATTCGATCTTTTTTCTCGAACCATTATGTCTATGCCCGGGTGCCCAAATTGAAGCGGGTAGTTTTCTTAGGGGGCCACACCCGTGGCCTTTGACCTAAAGGTCTGATCCACAAGGCAGTGGAGCAAAGTTCCGAAATGAAGTTCCATGGTACCCGGTGGCCGACAACTGGTTCATACGCCATTTTTCCCTCAGGATCCTGGAGCCCATAAGCACCATTGGTTTGGAATCAGTGTTTTCTAACTCCCCTAGGTGAATCCTCCACATCCACCAAACCAGTAAAAGCACCGGACATTCGCTTTCCGTACTCTCAATTTCGTCTAGCGCGAGCGAAACAGCCTGTGAAGATGATCGTTCAAATTACTAACATCGACGTCTTGGACGATGGGGAGGGTTTTTCGAGGAACAGTTCAACTGGTCTGTTGTCCCGGGAACATCGATCAGACTGTACTGCCCTCCATCGCCTATGACGACTGATCCACCTAACGAGGCGGAAGTCTGCAAGGGACTTCAACTCTTGAAGCGCTATAAATCACCAGGCCCAGATGACTTACCTCCGGCCCTTTTTAAAGATAGTGGTGACTTTCTAGTTAAACAACTGGCCGAGTTGTTTACAACTTGTCTTGCAACTAGTGTTTCGACATCATGAAATGAGTTGACCCTTGTCTCTATCTTCAAAAGGGTTCACGTCACCTATGCAAGAACTATCAGAGGATAAGTCTACTTTCGATTAGGTCCAAACTATTGGCTTCCGTCATACTCGGCAGATTGTTTAATGCCCGAGGAAGATTGACACGAGAGGAGCAGCCTGGTTTTCGTTCTGGTTGAGGATGTATCGATCACATCTTCACCCTCCACCAAATGTCAGAACACCGTCATACATCAGGGCCACTTAAGATTCATTGGACAGGACTGTTCCCTGGGACTGTCTATTGAAGAAATGTGTGCCTGAGACATCTATTAACATATTGAAGGCCCTATATATGCAAAAACCTCAGGCAAAGTGAAGGCATACAAACACTTCTCTCGATGGCTCCATTCAAGCAGAGGGGTTAGGTAGGGTTGCCCAATCTCAGTGACAGCCATGCTTGAAGCTTAACGACACCATATAGGAACTACTGTTTACATCCCTTTATGAAGAAAAAATTATCAGAATACACCAGAATGTAACTCATTTTATAGTATCGAGTGTAAAAACTTACAAATAACTCAAGTGCAAAAATGTGATACATTCTGTCCCGCTATGCACGCCGAATTTGGCATATTTGAACGTTACCTTTAACTATACTTCTTAACTTAGTGAATCAAAACAAATGGAAAGACCGGTTTATTAGAGTTAAGTAACACAACTCTTAAAACCAATAAGGAATCAAGACCTAATGGGGTCCAACTCCCGGCCACTAAGCACTAGGTTCGAACTCTGATTCACTTCGGTTTGGGCAACCTGGTAGTATCACAAGCCACCAAACTCAGAATAAGGTTCACACCTAAATCCTGGGTGAATTGGCAACTTGGAATGGGTGATATAATTTATGGACGACCTTTGAGAGACGCTAGACTGACTTTGAGAGTGTCCACCTAACAACCAGGACAAAATGAGGGTTATAAACCTGTGTGAGGAATCGGAATTATGATTCACAGTTGATGATTAACGTTAGGAATTGGATTTCGGGTTTTCATCACGAACTGACATTGTCTATAATTCCAAAACTCTATTTATCCAAACAGATGAGTGAATTTCGTGCCAAAATGCGAGACCTGTTATCTTATACGTGATTAGTTCGTCCATAAATTACAATCCTGCCTTCAAATGTTTTAAATTAAATTTCATACATCAGAAGTCCAATCCAAATGCTGAATTTCAAAAACGAAAAAAAAAAACCAAGTAATTCTATCAGTATGATTGATTGCAAATATTTCTTACGTAGATTGATAGGTCAAGATTAATCGACCATAAGGGCCTTCAAATAATCATATGTACAGTGGGACCATCGAATGAAGAATGTCGACGTCAAATTTAAAGTAGCTGTCAGGAGCAAAAAAACTAGTTCGAGACTAGTTAAAGTACAGTGAAAAACCTTTATGTAAGAAATATTGGTAGTATACTGGTTGGTCTCCATTTTCTAATAAAACGATCAAACTAGCTATAAATAGTGTGAACTTCTTATGAAAATAAGACTTGAAGCTTTTTTACTCATTATTCAAAAAAGGCATTCAAGAAAGCAACCGGACGACGAGGTTTCATAATGTTAGCTAACCGCAATTAACACTGAGAAAATTTTAACAATGGAAACATGTTGGACCGACAGAGTTCATATAACCAGGTTCGGACGCCCGAAATTTCGGTGCCAAAATATAGACTGCATACCCTTAGGCTAACACCGGGAAATAAATATATGTAGACAAAACTTACAACACTTTTAAGAAACAATTTAATAGGCACATAATGTATGGATGGACTTCTGACTATGTTAGCTTACTTTCGGGTCCAATTCAGTGGGTTTTCGCCTCGATCAATAGCAGCATTTTCTGCAGGCAGACCGAATGAATCCCAACCCATTGGACAAATCGTCAACTCACCACACATTGTTTTATAGCGGGTTAAGACATCTGAAACAGTATAAACTCGTAAGTGTCCCATGTGCAAACTTCCAGATGGATAAGGGAACATTGACAACACGAAGGACTTCTGATTACTCGCAGCTCTATCCTGAATCTAGCAGTAATGACAAACGTTGACTTACACTTGAATTTTCGAAATCAATCTTCCGGATAACAGGTAACCATTTCTGTTCTAATCTTTTCACATCGCTTAATCCGTAATAGGTCTATAAATCGTTTATGATATTTTATTTCGTTAGCATTACGGAACTATTCCGAAGGGGCGAGCAGTGCTTGTGCAGACGAATCCTCAAGAAACCCATGTAATTTTGGACGGGAAACATGTTTCAAGGTCATAAAATAAATAACAGTTTGGCCAAAAAAAAGCGTCACATATCACTTCAGAAACAAAAACAGTGTACCGTTTGACCAGTCACCGGTCATTGAATCAACATTTAGCTTTAATTCCAGTTTGTTAGGAACAGGAGCGGAATGTTCTGTGCGAGTCCTGGAGACAGAGGTTCCTCACTTCGTCCAACGTTTTTTAATGTAATGGTGTGTGGAGCTTAAGCCAAGTTTTCGGCGTCTCATTGTTTGATGATCTGCAGTCTTAATTCAACCAACAAGTAAGTAAATCCTGGTTCATGTAGGTTTATAGGTCGTGATTCAAACGACTGACTTAGCTATAGCTCGTTGAGTTGTTTTCGACAGCTTGTTGTTTTGTTGAGACGCTGACCGGCTAATTTTATGGATTTCTTGGGCTTCAGCCTAACGAACTCTGCACAAAGCACGAAGAGTGATTTATTATATGAGTGAATGGTGGTCCTACGTGATCGTCAGAAGATCTTATGACCGTAGCAGCTGCTTCAAAGCAGCAGGCAGCATTTTTAAAATCTTGACTGGTAGTGACTCCTCAATAATCTTGCGTCAGGATAACGAGTAACCAAACATTGCTTGCTAAATGATTATCAGTGTCTCGATAGCCAATATTTATCATTAAGAACTTGGAAGCATTAGTCACCTCCTTTCAAGTGTCAGACATTTCCACAGGTTTATTTATATCTTTCTGAAGCACTGAATTATCCCCTTCGGCCTGGGATAAAACAATACGTTTAATTTAAAGATCAAGAGATTAAATATAATGACCACATCTTCATGACCGACCCATGCCAACTCGCTTAAGTGTTTCTGTGCTGGTCTTTATTGACCTTATTCTGATGTTCAACAATTAATGTAAATATTCTCGATTACTGAATGTTTAGCTTCATGTATCCTGTGCTTAAGAATCGTTGTCCCTACAAAAACATTGAACTTCTCAAACTAATAATAAGTTCGTGAGACACGGATAACTTTTAAAAAACCATGATGCTGTCCGGAGAGTGTTAGTCTTTTGTTAATCTTCTCTGAATCTTAACACTTAAACTGGTTGGGTTCACGAGACGGTATTTATAAGGTCTACTGTGATATTAGTACTGCGCTAACAATTGACCTAATCCTAAAATTGTTGACTTGTCATGGTATAACTGCCTAATCTATAAGATCTTACGTAGAAGTCGTACCATCGTCCACACCAACTCATCGTATCGTAACAATCACCAATACATGATGTAGAACAAGCTTAGGCTAGAGATAGAACAATATATTTAATGTGAATAAAAGATATAAGGTAACATTCAGCAAGGACCACGCCTGCAAAGCCGAGCTATGCCATTCGATCAACTCTAATTATTTCAACTCTTGGTTCCCTCCTTCTCCATCGTTAGGTATTTCTCCGCGCTAAATACTGAATATCTATTTTCCGAGTAGTCTCGTGTTCAGCTTTGAGGATTGTGTGGTTATGATCCAATGGCACTACACTCCAATGGTTTCTTAATAAGTTTTTTGTACAGGCTTCTAGACTAACTTAGGACTAAGGCGTAGTGCTGCAGAATCTTTGTTACTGTTACTGTCTCTCCAGTTCTCACAAATATAATTCACTCCCACATCCTTTTCCCTTTGGGGAGAAGAGTGCGAACTTCGACAATGAACAATGCTAGAAAGTTCTGTAGCGTGAGGTTGAGTCGAAATTGACTATGAACAGCACTACAAGAATACTACGTGCCAGTCAACTGATAAAATCCCCCGTAAGTCAAATATCAGAAGGCAGTTGATGGCTGTAGCCGAGATGTATTTGTTGGCAATCCCGTGGTATCGAATGGATACCGAGATCGCGCCAAAAGGAGTACAAGCGTGTTTACCGAGCGTAACCAAACCCGTATAAGGTCACAATCAATGGAATAGTAACAACATGGCTGTCCTTACACAGTTAAACAAACGAGCACAGTACAACAATCATTGGTACAAATGGTTATAATAATGATTGTTTCCATTAAATCAATCGCACTCTCTCGGTAAAAGTAGGTCACAACAGTTCTATAATTTCCTCAGTATTGTGGAGATAGACCTAACAAGCCTATTTTGTAAATAGTTTTTATTATTATTTGTATTTATTTTGTCACCCTTTCACTGTACGTATATTTATCATCAAACGACTATACCTGTTGTTTTAGTCAATGACCTTGAACACACTTTCCGTTGTGATACTGACATAGCGTTACATACTCTTGCTGGCTAACAAATACACCACTACTCACACATTCCTCATTCTATCTTCGTTTGTGATTGAGTTAACTGAAGTCTAAATAAAATAATATATACATTTATAGATTGTAATTGGAATACATCACATCCTACGTTGGATTATATCACCGGAGAGTTCGTCAACCAGATTGGAATTAGCAAGCATTTATAATTGTGGTTTCTTAGTACCAGACCAAAGCCGAAAACGCATCAATTTGGTGAACTTAAGTAAAGTTCCAACTTTCTGTTGTATTTGTAATAATTAACTTATATATGTTAATATTACTGTTGATCTTTATTAACTTTGTCGTTACTTTTTGCGTTTATAAATCGTCTGGTCTACCAGAGCATCATTGAAAGTACATTTGGTTTTGTTAGATTTATGTACAAATTTGTAAGCACCCCCAGGCCGTTTATTAGGTGAACTTCAGTCCTATCGTCCAATCTGCGAAAGACTGTGCGCGTAAAATTTCTTGTGCATTTGTTTACCACACGTTCGGCTTAGCCTCAGCTGACATACTGATACTGATACTGAAATGGAAATCAAAAATTAAACCTATATGGTCACTCTTACTTTGGAGCGGCATATAATCGTTTTCTGATGCCTTCCTTGTGATGTGTCGATTTTAAATTTAGTGATGATATTTAGGATTATTTATTAATTCTTATGCCCATTTTGACTTTATCGATTCACTTGCACTTATATTAACCTATTTTTATCACTCCGTTGACTGATGCTCAAGTGTATTGTATTGTAACAATGATTAGTACTCATGGGAAACTAACACAATCGACACTAATAACCTGTCATCTATAGTTCATTAACAAGCTTTGTTAGCATTTACATACTTTTAGTGAAATTAACTTCTAAGAAAATCAAGCACTAGCGAGGATGGTCTTTAACTGATGTGGATACATATTGAATAGCAGAGTAAGCAAGGACTGGATGGTTATCTAGATTTGATTCTCCGTCTTTTTTCTTCACTTATCATGATCCATCCCTTAATATCTTTTCTTTCGACCTCCGACTCACCGATTTCCGATTTCCTGGTTCTACTGCCAAACAACGAAGACAATATTCCAAAAACTTACGGCGAGTTCAAGCTACAAAATGTTTGCAGCCCCAAGTTCATTTGAGATGCTTTATACGACGACAGTCACATATTTGTATAAACTCTTGGGTTTGTACTTAGTTGACCGGATGACAAAAAGTCAACAGCATCACGCACCCTGGAATTAGGCGCACAACGCAATTATACACAGTTTTCAAAAATGGGAGCACTATATTTGCCATATTTGAAAAAGAGAGTAATAACAATAGAATAATAATAAATCAGGTTCTGTGTACTTGAGAAGAATACTGAATTGAATTGAGGGAAGGAAAGTTAGAAAATAAGGGAATAGAAATAAAGACGTCAATTATGCAAATAGCTTAATAGTCGAGTTTATGAAGACAGAACAAGAATAAACGACTAAGTATGTGGCGTCGAATTAGCAACAAAAATAACATAGAAAATAATTAGGAAAAAATAACTTACTATTGCAGTAAGATATGAAGCTAGAATAAGTGTTTGTGCAGTCATAGTTTGGTGTGATGCAATGAAAGTCACGATTAAGTGAAAAGGGTAACGAAATATCACGTATGAGTCATATATACATGGTGAAGATAAAACGAGTCTGTAAAGTTATTTTAAATGTAACACAAGTTATTGTCTTAATTGCAAACTTCGTAATCTTAAGAATAATATTTATTTAGAAGGGAAAGAGAGAGATGAAAGAAATGGACACCTAGTGGAGAGGTTCAACCATGATAGTAATAACTGTGTGGTGAATATCGACCTCTGAAGTAAACCAATAATTTAAAAAAATAAAATAAAAAATCCTTTAGTGTACTGGGTTAAATACATGTAGATTTATGTAATGGTATACAGACTGAAAATTGTAGGATCCTAACTAAAGTTTGGACGGAAGAATAGCTGTCTAGGTGGGTTAGATACGCTCCCGTTCCCGATTAAAGCCAAAACAAAACAAATGGGTAAAATGACGGTTCTAAAATTCATCATAAATTTGATTGTACACTGTTACCTAAACAAATATGACCACCCAGCTATCCAACCAATAATTGATCAATTAATCAAGTCTAAATTACAATTAATAAGGAAGTTGATAAAGGATGCGAGAAAATTACCAATCACAACAAATAAATGTTATTCTATCCTGTCTGGATAGATCGCGCACAGATTCGTTCAAAAGATAATATTTGGTTGCTTTATAACAAATGTTTCCAATTCTGGAGGAGTGCTTCAATTCACAATCGAAAAATGCACAATTCCAGTCAATACAAGCAACACAATGAAAAGGAGGAACAAACCAATATGGCCGCCGCCAAGACTAAGTATCAAATAAAACAACATAAATGCAGTTCAGAAAGAAACATGGAAACTAAGTGAAAGCGTAAGAAAAATAAAAACTACAAAAAGTATAAATATTACCAACCTATATTCAATCAAAAAGACTAGCAAAATTTACAACCAAATGAATCGATAAAAACAAGATTTAAGTGTATACATGGAGGGATTTTCACACACGAAACATTCAAATTGGGTCATACAAAACCGGACATTAGTATACGCATTTGTGTAATAATAATTAAGAATGGTGCTATGAAAGTTACAATTAATTGCAAATGATAATCAAACATCAATTTCTGCGTTACATATATGTGGCAAA